TACATGTAAGCTCGGCCACGCATCATAACATGTCAATATACTCCTAACGCCGAACGCCATTAAAGTCAAATACTCTACGGGGAATTTTCAAGGCGACAGCGGCAGGTGGCGAGGTAGGAGGTCCTGCCGAAAGGTGGCTAAGCATCCACTCACTCCATTACCACCGCCCGCTCTTATTGCTATTGTGAGTGTTTTTTTTTTACACAAAATACAAAATCACATAATGACAAGGACAGCAACGTCAACAAAATCAAAGTGTAAAATGTTGAAAATCGAATTTGGTCCCAGCACAGAAAAGAGCCAAAGATATAAAAACAAGAAAAAAGATATATAAAAAAAATGGCTGGGAAACGGAAACGGATGTGCGGGCTGTAGAAAGAGAGGGGAACAATGCTAGAGAAGGACAGGCGGGGGTAACTGGCAGACATGCCATTATTTGTTGATGTATTAAAGCTTTTATTTACATGCAGGTGAGCGCCATTTGTTTATATTTGTGTTTGTATTCAATCAGCGTCAACAAGAGCCAAAAAATACAAATAAGAATAAAAATAAAAAACAATGAAAGGAGAAAGGAATCGAAAAATCACATGAAAAGTGAAGGCAAATCAAATAAAATCAAATCACTGGGCTGCCTTGTGTGTGAGTGTCAATTTTTTAAGAATTCCCGCAGTGGCAGGGCAGGGAAAAATGTCAGCGCCCAAGTGGTAAACACTCTTGGGCCTCTTCAACGGCTTTTCGGGCCAACTAATGGCTGCAATTTCGCGCTGCCAGTAGTTCATTATCATTCCGGGCATAATGTGATGGCGATGATTATGTTGACTGACAGGCCCCGGGAATCGAGAGCTGGGAAAACTAGCTAGTTGCCTGGTAGGATGGTGGGATGGTTGGATGGTTGGCCAGATAATAATATGTCTAGGCCAAATACGTTGCACATGGCCTACTTGGCAGTCGATGTCCTTCGGCTGTGGGTGGTTCGGGTGGTCGGTCGGTGTGATTGGTTGGCCCTCCATGGACTCATTCCATTCCTGTGCTCACCCTATTCCATCAGGCAAGTCCGTAATGAAGCTATAATTAGATAAGCGCAGTGCCGCAGCCTGCCAAACAGTGAACTACTCGTAATACTGCCACCCATCCTCTTATCCTGTGGGTCCTGCATGTGTGTGTGTATCTCACGGATACACACGCCCGCACCTGGCGCTGTATTTTTAGCCAACGAAATGAAACAAACGTTTGACTAACCAAACTCCAGCTGACAGATGAGCAGGCCACTGCCACAGACACACAGCTACAGATACCGAGTCTGTGCTTATGAATGGATGATTCTTCTATTCCTCAGCACTCAACCATACAATGGCCTCGCATCTCGTCCTGCAGAAAGGATAACTCTTACATGGCTTGGCTTCTTTCAGGTTGGGTCCTCAGCAGCGGTCCTGTGTGGGTGGGTGTCGGTTTGCTGGCAGCTAGTTAGCTGGGCATACATTGTCAACTGGCATGCGTGGCGTATACGTAATGGGGACTGATTTTTTTGGCAGGCAAGTAGATTGAGTTATTTCCCAGGAATTGTGATTTGTCTTTCTCTAATCATGAAGATAATTGAATTTGCAAACTGACTGAATGGGTAATTATGCGGGTAAATGGAAAATTAGGGGTTTCACTCTTACACAATACAAACAAATGTAATAGAAACTAAAAGGGTAGAAAGTTATTATTATTATTTATACCTATACCTATAATATTATATTATAGTTATTATATATATTATATAATATAATATTATTATTATATTTTATAATAGTTATATTATATTATATTATATATAATCATTAGGGCTTTATTTTATATTTTAATTTGTATATCAATTATTCCCATACTTTTGCTAATTAAAACTTTGTTAAGCCAATACGCCCTCAAACAAAGGATCATTGTGTGTGAAGCACAAATTTATTAGCACAAAGTACGCTTACTAGTTATTATTTATTTTTAGTCAGGTCATCAATCAATCAAAACTTACCCTTCACTCCAGTTACAAGTAGAAAGGGACTGGTCAAGGTCGAGTTCAAAGCTGACCCACTATGAAAAGTGGTCTAATATAGCCATCTCCCCCTTTACCTCAAATTTCAGTTATCCGCTTACTTAGCCTGGTTGTACTGGCCAATTAAAAGCCAAACACAAACTGCGGTCTCGGCCCATGAAAATCAAATCAGATGAAGATGTAGTTCTGGATGCCGACAATTCAATGAGAGCACCAAGAGAGAGCTCAATGGCCCATCAGGCCATCAATCAAACAATCACTTAATGAACTACTTCAAAAGCAGACGATGATGCCTCATTCGCAATTTTTGCCAAAAAAAATGCCCGAGCAACAATCGCAGACAAACACGCCAATTTCCACTCACAGTTTTGTTTCCCTGTTGTTGTGGGGCGGCCTCTTGGGTGGATTGGCATTAATTGCCTTGTGCTGCTTTTATGGCATCGATTGAAAAAGTTTTTGGGAAAACCAGTCCTATTTTTCGGCACCCCCCTAAGTACTCAGCCACAAAACTTTTCCAGCACCAAACGCTTAAAATGCGCTTAATTGAGAGTCAGACTTGAAGAGTCATTGAGGCGCCGCCCGGGAGATCCCAAAAAGTTTTACCAAACTATTCGAACCATTTTTGGCTCCAACAAAATATTATTGCAAATAATTCGTTTAGACAGTTTACACATTGTTAAGCGCCGATAGCCGATCGGGGCTGAAATCGACCTTCAAGGTATTTTTGTAAAATTTCAATTGTTTATCCTTTCCAGCTGAGGTGGGCGGACAACTTGGTCTGGGCTTGAAATTAATATTGAAATTGTGGCCACAAATTCCACTTGTAGTTCGAGCCCCGAAAGTTGCCTTCGTCCGGGCGGAGTATGTATTTCTGGCGGCCGACCGCAATTTGCCGAAAAACTTTTGAACTTTTTCGAAAAGTTTACTTTATCAACTTCTTGTTCATAGTTGGGTAAGACAAATCAAAAAGAGGAAATGCCAAAGCCCCAGAAAAGGGCGGGGGAATGGAAGGAAACCAAATTACTGCCCTAATGCCCAAACAAATCGATCTGTTAGGCCATGGCTACGTGACAGTTGCCACTTTAATTAAAATGAAATGCGCTAATGGAAATCCGAGCCCAAAATGAGTCTCACCCACACGCGCACACCCACAGGAACTGGAATTCATCCACACATCCTGACACATATAGGTGAACCGCATTTCGTTATGATTAAAAAGGCCCACGAGTGTCTGATGCGCGAATAAACAGCCAACATGCACTGAGAAAATTATCTACCATTTGAATAAAGAATGAAAATTAAACAAAAATACCATGTATCCGTAGAGATATAGGAAATTTTGTTCTTCAAGTGTCCATGACTAAACTAAATATAAATCAGAATAAGGAAAACCCCTAGCCGTGTGTGGAAAGCATTTTCAGACTATCATGTCTGTATTTCGGTACGTGAAATATTAATAATTCCATTTTGAACAGCTCAAGGCAAGGATAAGCTTGGCGGTCCGGGCTTTATTTTTAGACACTCGAAACCAAAACCAATGTGGGCCGATGTGAGACAGGAGGGAGTGGCAAGAGCGAGACGGGGGCTTGAGGTGAGGAGCGACGGACAGGTGGGGCCCAAGGGCCACTTAAAGCATAGAAAAACTATTAAAATTTATGCGTGGCCAACAAGAAAACAGCAACGAAACTGTCGCGTCCATTACCACACTCCAGCACACACACAGCAGGAGAAAGTGGCGGGAGAAAGTCGAGGAAAATAACCGAAGGGCAGGACATGTAAATGCTGACAAACAATAAAATGTGGCCAGCAAAGCAGCGCGAATGGAGTAATCCCTCCTGCTGACAAGTGCCCAGGACCTTGGACGGAGTTCGGTGAACTGTCGAGTGGAGCATAAGAGCCTACATCAACGATTCCTGGCGAGAGATTCTGGAGACACCCCGGGGATATCTTTACAGCCTTATTCCATATGTACTCGCTGTCATAATTTAAGCCAACATTTTGAGTGTTGGGGTAGATAATGAAATGTGTATTCACATCTTGATTGTATTCACAGGCCTATTCAAAACGAACATGAATGGTTTCCAAATAAAGAGGAGTTGTAAGAATAAGGAAACAAAATTTATAATACGAATAATATGGGAGAACAGATATCAATTTTTTAAAAGCAATATTGATTTATTAGCTTTTCTATTTAAAAATCGTTGATTTATATTTTATTTGATTTATAATTTTGTACAATCAAAATTTGATTTAAAGATAAAACTATTTTTAATATTTATCTTTCATATTTTTTATAATAAAAGCAGTTAAAAATTCTTTAACTTGAAAAATGATAAAATAAATATTAGCAAAGTTTATCAGTAAGGCCTCATATTTAAGGTAATCACATTTCTTTAACACTCTCTTTTGCCGCTGGGTTTATTAACTTTAAATTTATGAAAACAAATAGGCAAAAAAGTTAATTAGTCTTAGGGTACATAGTTGATTAATGAAAAACTTGTGAAAAAAGTAGAGCAAAAGTTCGCACAAAAGTTGTTAATTGAGTTAAAGTTCATAAACCTTAAGTCTCCGCACTGTCACTTCAAAAGTAACTACGTTCTTTATTCAGGCTATAAAGGCCACACTTTTCACGATCTTTAAAATTCAATAAAGGAAACTATAAAAATCTAAGTGAACCTTAAAACGTTGACAGGCTGATGCCTGGAGGGTATTTTTCGTTATTTTTTGTTTTCAAACTGCTTACACAGATTTCTTGTCGGCAGTTGTTGCTTCGGGGAGATGGCCAACTTAACGCCTTCGAGTTGTAAAACACTTAGCGGTTATTTCGTGTTTTGGCTGCCTTCTGCAGGAAGGACTCGCTTTGGAGGGAAAGTTTTAGGGGAGGACACACGCCAAGAAATCCGCACCAGGCGAATTTCTTGGTTGTGTTGTAGATAATTTAGCGCAATTTACGTGCAAATTTGCTTACGTTACTCGCCAGTCAAGGAAGATAGCGCACAGGTGTGTGCACGAGGCAATGGCTCCGAGGATGTCGAGGATATCGAGGCCCTTGGTTCAGTTTGGAGCGCGAACACAACCGACAACAGCAAAGGACAACGCACGACTGCGTCGGTTGCCGACCAGGAGCCTCGGCTCCTCCATTATGCCACCATGCTCATGCCACAGGCAGGCCAGCCGTGCCACTGTGCCAATGTGCCACGATGCCGAAACCAAAACCGAATCGAAATACGAAGGATACGCTGGGTAGTCGTTTGGCAGCGTCGTTAGTTGAAAGTAAGCAGAAATAGAAATATGAAAAAGAAGTAACCAAAATAGCAGTTGGGGCCGACTCCGTCTTAAATAAATCGCTAGTAGATTATTCGTGCTGGCACCCAGTTGTACCCGCTCTGCTTTCTTTTTGCCACCCTTCGCTGCTTGTTCTTACTTTCATTTTTTTCAGAAACAAACTTTTTTTAGGCCTGCCCCAGTGTGTATGCTACGAAAAATTGACAGCCGCAACGCAAAGGGGACAGTTTTTTCCATCTTTTTTTGTTATCCTGGAGTCTCGAGGTGCCTGCCTTTGGATAAGTAATTTTCGCTGTTTCTATTTAATTTATGACTCGTGTTGCCGTCGTGTTTCATTATTTGCCTTTTATTAATTTGTTTATTTGTTTATCTGTGCACCGCTCTGCTACCCATCTAGCAGCTCCCTCCCTCCATCCCTCCTCCCTCCGCCGTATCAGGGAACCAGGACATTCTTGGCCGTTTAAACGTTATGTGCCCCTCGCTTGTGTTTTTATGTACTTTTAATACACTCCACACAACCTGGAGCGGGCTTAGGCCCAGAGATAGACAGGACATTCTGATCCATACGTGTACCGTAGCCGAGTCGGTTGCCTTGGTTTACTGTTGCTTCGCTGAAAGTTTCTTGTATGCTTTCCTCACACGCGTAGGCGAGAGCCCCGCCAATCGCCCCCACTTTCACTGCCAGCCACCCCCACTCGATACGACTGTTGCATGCACAGCAGGGAAAGTCGTAAACATCTTCGTTGTGGTCTCGACGCCGGCTCCTGGCTCCTGGCTTCTTCTCAGCTTTTATTATCCTCCTCGGGGAGGCTGGAAGGATATGATAGGGATGTCAATTCTATTCAGACAGCGTTGAGAAGCTCTGGATTAATTAGAGTCCTAAAATTGCGGATCAAGATAGTCCAACGTCAGAGCCAATTTTGTCTCTTTTTTGTATTAAAATATTTTTATTAGTATTAGTCTAAAAAAAAAGGATAAGATGGGTAAGAAAGGTAAATTAAAGATATTGGTTAGCATAAAACATAGGTTTGAGCACTTAATTTGGTTATTTTCTCTATTTAACTTCTCCAGAACTTACTACTTCAACAGAAGTGTATCCCATCTTTGTCCTGACACAGTTTTGATTTATTTTTCCGATTTGACTTTTGATGAACTTTAGTTTATATACTCCAAGTTGGTAAAGCACTCTCCGGCGCTGGAAGTCTCTGTAAACAGTTTCAGCCACTAAACTTTGACATTTTAGTGGCCATTCGATGGGAACTTATGTTTTAAGAACGGGGTACTTGGCGGCGCTTGTTGCTCACTTGAGTCATAACGCTCATACGCCTTGTTGCACAAGTCGCATAAAGATGATGGCATATTTTTCGGTTTAGTGCGAGCCACTTAATAGACCACAAAACGCAGCCAAAGCCTCATAAAGCAGCAAAGCACACTCGTACAGAGGCCCAATACAGTGGCACACTCGCACAACGAGCGCGTGTACAAACAGTAACAGCAACAGCAACCAGCAAATGGCCACAAATGACACGTTTGGTGTTAAATGGAGGTCGTCCGGCTCGCATACAGAGTTGCTATAGCACATGTATTGGTGTCGAGCCTGGCTGCGTTACTGTGTCCTTCTGTGAGTAGCTGTGTCGCTGTGCCGCAGTTACAGCTAAATTGTTTGTACAACATGCATGTAGAACAAGCATAAATCCCAACCACAGCCACATCACATCCTTAACCACATCCACACACACATGCTCGCAGGCGAGACAAACTGGGCCCAAACCAGCTGGCAATTAAAGCCGCTGAGCTTGAGCTTACCCACACACGCACCCACAACCTCGTACAGGTGAATCCCATTGTGATGGCCCTCATCAAACAGTTGGTTATTGTTTTCCCTGTGTTACCCATTCCCAGACCCATTCCCATAATCGACTTAACCATTGCGACTATAAATCAATGGGCATTGGCGTCCAGTGTCGGACATTTTGTTAAATTTTTTTTACAAAGCGGCTTTGCTATACAGGTTAAAAAAATAAAACGATATTGATGCTATTGATATTATTTTTGTGGCATATTTAATGCTTGCTCGTTAATATTTTATAGGGAATTTTTAATACAAAGTCTTAAATATTTTTAATTGTTACTTTTTTGATAAAAAAAAACAGTACAAAATTCAGTCTGTAAAAATTATACGGTATGAAAAGGCATTAAAATGACATTTTTATCACATTTTCAAATAGTTTATGGACTCTTGTTTTTATTAAAATCCAATTGTTTTTACTGTACTAGTGGCATCGCGGCTGTTGAATTTATGTTAACCAAAAGCCTTTCTCAATGTTTGCCTTGGCTGCGCCACTGGATGTGTCCTGCTGCTGCCGCTGTTGCTAATGAGCTGTAACCAAAGGCAACAGAAGCGACCACGAGCCAAGCCAGCAATACATTTACAGCAAATTGAATTCTACAATAACTACAGCCACGGCAGACACACATGAGAAAGCCCGCCGGCCGTCAATCACACCCATACACACACCGCGGCAGACTTTGGAGAAAGGACCTGATGAGGGGGATGAGAGGAAGCAATGTGTCGTGAGCTGTCGCCATTGTGACTTTTATTGCAGGAGGCAGTTGGCGTTCCTGTTGCCTGCTACTGCCACTGTTTCCACTGCAATTATCAGCTGTAGCTGACACCTATACCAATACAAAAACACTTCAAAAAAACTAATTACCCTCTAGAAAAATATGTTAAAAATGTAATTCCAAATTCAGAGCTACATAAATAATTGTAAAATAGTAGGCCATTTTGGTACGTTCTAGTTTTTTTGACATATGAAAATGTATCTATGAATTTAAATTTGATCATTTTTTCCACTGCAAGTCCATGTGCTCACGAAGACAATTTGTCTCGGGCCCACAAAGGTTCTACGGGCAGAGAAAGGACGAAGAAACAGGAGCTGGCAGCTTTAATTGCACAGAACAAAAAACCAGGCTGAGAAAAAACATTGCACTATGTGCCGGCAAACAGCACAAAAAGCCAATTTGGCTTTTGGCTAACACAGGGACTGAGGACTGAGGGCAGGAAAAGGGACTGAGGGCATGAAAGTAAAAGCCAAATAGCAAAGCTTTCTTTCTTTTCGCACTTGTTGGGAAACACGGTTAACTCAGCGTTGCCAGATAACTAAACACATTTAAGAAAAACAAACTTTGTTTTAAAATGTCGGCATAAGCACATTGTGAACAGTTGTAATATATTATTGCCAACAATTAAAATTAAGCTACATTTGTTTGTAATGGAGATTACAGCTACTTATTGAGCATATGTGTCTCTTGGTATATCTTTGGGCATTTGCCGATTTGTTACGTTAGATTTTGAAATTAATTAACAATTAAACGGGAGGAATGTTTAAAAATTACATGAACAATTTGAATGACTTTCGGTGGGAGTGGTTCCATCCTTGTTGCAAAAGTCACACTTAATGATAGCCGCAGATGGATTAGCAATCGCCGGCTCCGATACACAAGTCCTTTTCTTGGAAAAGTTCGGCATTGGTTCATCAGTTACACGCTTTTCATCAGTGTCGTTGGTATTCACATTTGCAATATTATTCTGATATTCTTTAAGACGACGGTTGTATTCGCTCCTCGCCTTAGCCGCCTTCTTCTTCCACAAAGACTTTTTTTCATCGGACATCTGACGCCATATTTTGCCGCCTAGGGACGCTACCTCTGTCGCCTTATAGTTTGGAAAAGTTTTTTTTATTTTTCGTCGCCCGCAAGTACTCATCCAGATCAAAAAGGAACCCATTGGTTTTTTTGGGGGAGGTCCACACCGAGAAGCCATTGCTTATCTAGGTAAAAAAAAAAACAAAAATATTCACATTTCAGAAATTTTTTTTATGCCGTTTGAAAACTTACTTCAAAAAATTTAGATCGTTAATAAAATAAAATTCGGTATACTTTTTCGTTGTGACCTCAAAAAGTGTAAAACTGTCGTGTTGACTCTATGAAATCTCACAACAGACTGAATATTTTATGGAGCTCTCTAAACTACCCAAAATCAGTTGGATGAAATGGACTACTAGATTGAAAAATTTTTTAGATTTCGCAGATTACTCGATTTAATCTTTATTCTTAATTATCCTTATGTTTCGATAAACTCTCAAGGATTTTTCGGCATTAAAGTTTGCTTAAAAAAGTTTTTCGCTTAAATCTGGAGGTAACGTTTTAAACAATTTTCGAGCTCCAGGTGCAATGACTTATTTTTAAAAAATATCGGAAACTATTTACCAAATCATCAAAAAACTATCATAAACTTGCCTAGAATTGAATTTAAGGTATTATTTTTTTTCAAATTTATTTTTTGAATTTGAATTTTTTAATAATTTATTACATTTTTTGGAGAATGAAATAATAAATGAAATAACAGTTAAATATGTAAAAATTTCTTGAACTTTTTATACGATTATTTTACATGAAGCGAATTGACAAAAGTGCGTCATGGTCACTCTAAAATCAATCGAAAAGTGAGTCAGGCGGTTCTCGTGCGGTTTCCAGTATTTGATTTATCTCGTTTTTTATTAAAAGTCGCCAAAACACAGAAGAAAATGTCGACCCTGGCCACTCCTTTGTCCATTGCCGGCACCCGTCAATCGGGCGCCTCTGTGCGCACTCAGAACGGTAAGAAACTAATGCATTTGACAACAGCTGCACAGCGTCGACCGGCGGAGCACGTTTCTTGCTGATCTAATGGTCACACGCCGGGGAGAATGTTCGGGAACAAAAGAGACATGGGCTTTTTCGACGGGATGGTAGTTTTTCCTTAAGATATTCCTGACCTTCAAACTGAAGAAAACCTCAATTTCATCAAAACATGACAAAGTGAGGTTATGACTAAAGGATATTTTCCCCTCTTCCTGTAGTTATGGCTGCCTTGTCCATATCCAACATCGTAAAGAGTTCCCTGGGACCGGTAGGTCTGGACAAAATGCTGGTGGACGATATTGGCGATGTTACAGTGACGAACGATGGCGCCACCATTCTGCGCCTACTGGAGGTGGAGCACCCGGCTGCCAAGTAAGAGATTCATGTGACATTCCTTTTGCAAAAAAAACTAATTTTGTTTCTTTCAGAGTTCTGGTTGAGCTGGCTCAGCTGCAGGACGAAGAGGTTGGCGATGGCACCACTTCCGTGGTCATTCTGGCCGCTGAGCTGCTGAAAAACGCCGACGAACTGGTCAAGCAGAAGATCCACCCAACCTCGATCATTTCGGGATACCGTATTGCCTGTAAAGAAGCCTGCAAATACATCTCAGAGCACTTGACCGCCCCTGTTGACGAGCTCGGTCGCGACTCCCTGATCAACATTGCCAAGACCTCGATGAGCTCAAAGATTATCGGTGCCGACTGCGAGTTCTTCTCCGCCATGGTTGTCGATGCCGCCCAGTCTGTGAAGATCACGGATCCCAGAGGTCAGACTGCCTACTCGATAAAAGCCATTAACGTGTTGAAGGCGCATGGAAAGTCGGCTCGCGAATCTGTCTTGATTCCGGGTTACGCTCTCAACTGCACCATCGCCTCGCAGCAAATGCCGAAGAAGATTGTCAATGCGAAGATTGCCTGCCTGGACTTCTCGCTGCAGAAGACCAAGATGAAGATGGGCGTCCAGGTGCTCATCAATGATCCTGACAAGCTTGAGGCCATTCGCGCTCGCGAGTTGGATATCACCAAGGAGCGCATCAACATGATCCTGGGTACAGGAGTCAATGTGGTGCTGGTGAGCGGTGGTGTCGATGATCTCTGCATGAAGTACTTTGTGGAGGCGGGTGCCATGGCAGTGCGCCGTGTAAAGAAGAGTGATCTGAAGATCATTGCCAAGGCCACGGGAGCAGCTTTCCTTACCTCGCTTACCAACATGGACGGTGAAGAGAGCTTCGATGCCTCGATGGTGGGAGAGGCTGCCGAAGTGGCACAGGAGCGCATCTGCGATGATGAGCTTATTCTCATTAAGGGCACCAAAGCTCGGTATGTGGTTTAAAGGAAAATATTCAAGAACAGTTTATAATTTGTTTATTTTAATGCAGTGCCGCTTCCTCCATTATCCTCCGTGGTCCCAATGACTTCTACTGTGATGAAATGGAGCGTTCTGTACACGATGCCCTGTGTGTTGTGAAGCGCGTTCTGGAGAGCAAAAAGGTTGTGGCCGGCGGCGGCTGTGTAGAGGCTGCCCTCTCCATTTACTTGGAAAACTTTGCCACATCACTGGCCTCTCGCGAACAGTTGGCCATTGCCGAGTTCGCCAAATCGCTGCTCGTCATTCCCAAGACTCTGTCCGTGAATGCGGCCAAGGATGCCACAGATCTGGTGGCTAAGTTGCGTTCCTATCACAACTCCAGCCAGACCAAACCAGAGCACGCCGAGCTCAAGTGGACCGGCCTGGATCTGATCGAGGGTGTGGTTCGCGACAACAAGAAGTCGGGCGTTCTGGAGCCGGCCATGTCCAAGATCAAGTCGCTGAAGTTCGCCACAGAAGCTGCTATCACCATTTTGCGTATTGACGATATGATCAAGCTGAATCCGGAGGACAAGAGCGGCAAGAGCTACGCCGATGCCTGTGCCGCCGGTGAACTGGACGGTTAGAGGTCTACTGGTCCTCGTCTATTCTGTTTAGGCATTTAATTTAAAATAAATCACCCACTTTCGATTCTAATCGCCCCCATTAATTTGTAACAACAATTTAATTGTGTTGCCTTTTGCGATCTGTATTAACACCACGCATCCGTAATCCTTTCTCATTCACGCTTCAGGACATAATAAACTTTGAATATGCTGCGGCGCCAACTAAGAGTTAATTGTTTGTTTTTGGTGGAGAGAAGAATCTTCAGGAAGATGAGAAAACGCAATCGGAGAGCGAGAGAACCTATTCAACTAAAAATAGCGTCTGCATCTATTTCGTCTATTAATACAAAAAAGAAAACACAGCCCAATAGCAACGAAACGCACATTGCTCAAGAGTTTTTATAAATTTAAGATTTTCCAATACAATGGCGGATAATAACGAGGAGGGAGCCGTTGGAGGCGATGTGAATAATAATAGTAGTGATTTACCCACGTCAAATGGTGATCAGCAAGAAGGGCAGTCACAGGAGCAGTCGCAGAATGAGCTGCTTGACATGGTTTTCACGTTGGAGAGTGAGAAGCAGGCACTGCTAGAGGAGTCCCGCAAACGGATTGGAGCACTTCGAAAAGACTTTGAGGTTAGTTTTGATGTATCCATCGAATGCAACTATCCAGTAACTATTAACATCAGGAAGCCAAAGTGGAGAATGAGCGCCTGAAGAAGAAGGTGGTCCAGTTGGAACAATCACTTAAGCAATCTGTAATGCTGGGCGGCACAGACGCTCCCAAATCCCGCCAAGAGCAGGAGGAACTGCTTCTGAAGGCCAAAACCCTTTTGTTTGAAAAAACCAAAGTGAACAAGCAGCAGGAGCAGCAAATATCGGTTCTTAAACACCAAGTGGAGACCGTCAAGGATGTGCTGCAGGTGACCAAGGATATGCTGCAACTGAAAACCACAGAGTGTGACCACACCCAAGCCCGCCTGGAGAAGAGCCAACTCTGGATCAAGGCGGAACAAGACAAGTGTGCTCTCACAGAGAAAAAACTGGCCATATCCAAGTCCGTCTATGATAAACTGCGAGCAGAGTACGACACGCAGTCGAAAATATTCAAAGTATGTCATTTCCACCCTTCATTCTATACAAACTATAAGTTTGCATCTTTTTAGGAACTCAAATCGGCATACGAGCAGAAGGTTAAGGTCCTTAGCTTGGCTTTGGAGGAGGCCAAAAAATAGTTGAACAATTTAATAAACTACGTTAATTAAATGCATACACATCCTTTATGATTTGAATAATTTAATTATCTTAGGCGCTCGGGGTGCCCGCCTGAGCCTGTTGCTGCTGCTGGGCCTGCAACATTTTTGTGGCAGCTGCCTGTTTCAACTCCAGCACTGCGATCACAGAGTTCAGGAAGCGGGTCTTCTGGAGATGGATCTTCTCGATTTTCTCAATCTGCTCCTGGACGTACTCCACACGTCGTTTGAAATAGTCCTTTGAGCCTTCTAGGTCCTATAGAAATAACAGATGTTTAAGCAGATGGTTTAAATTCCTTTAAAAATTCCTAAGAACCTTTTCGATGTAATAGCCAGTGCCAATGTCGATCACAAAGTTGTTGAGATCCTTCACACGTCCTGGAACGTACATACTACTTGTAAGCGGCACAAGAATTTGGCGATTCTCCCAGTCCGGCTGGAAAGTTTCTAGTGCTTCCTTGGAGCCGGCGTATTTTGCTTTACAGCTGTGCAGAGTTGATAGCGAGTCCTGAATATTGCTCATTTCCTGAAAATAATTAAATAAAAAAGCTTTTTGTAGCATGTGCCAATGGTAACCACCCCCGGTCCCCGACCGCCTGACTCATTTTAACCCAAGCAGCGACACCCACATGCAAGACCCGCTCACCTGCTCAAACTCCTGCTTTATTTGCATCAACTGGTCCGGACTAAGCTTGGTCAGGTCAATCATCTCGGCCTTGCCCGGTGCGTTTGCTGTTGCTGCCATGCTGTGTGCCAAAACTTGTAATTTAAAACAAATTAAATACAAATCTCTTCGGTCACTTCGGTGTGAATCGAATAAGTGCAAGTGATGAGCGCTGAGAGCCGATTGCAAAATAATCGATATCATATTCGATAGTATCGAATTAAACATTAAAACGCCGCGTTGCCAGAGTTTTACTCTGGATCCTATATATCCTAGTATATTAAAAAATAAAAACCAACATATTACAGAGCTCTCAAGGAATTAAAATATGAAAAGCAGGGTAGGCCGCATTTCCACTACATTTTTCAATTTTCTTGGGAGGGGGATTGAAAAAAAGCTTGCACAAAAGTAAATACAGAGAAAAACCCATCATAATAAGATAATAATAATTTAATATATAATAGAAATATTAAAAGCTTAAATATTTCTATTATAAAATGTTCTGCTCCGATTTTTGTTAATAGAAAAAGTACACGAAAATGTTCCGTTTATCTGACACATTGAAACTTGATCAAACATTTAAGTGCTAAGAAAAATTTTCAGTGAAGAACAAAGCTTTTATTATAAATCTTATGCATCCTATAAATATATAGATCGTTGCTATAATTTAGAAAACATTCTTAAAATTACTTGCAATCATATTGATGTTCAGCAAAAATAACGGTGATTGAGGTGGCCCTTTTCAAGAATTGCTCTGTGTAGGCCCTATGTCTTCCGGGAAAGGGCTTGCATCCTTAAATATCTGCATGTTTGCAACTGATACAGTTTCAGACTGATCTACTAGTCCCAGGATGTCAGATATTTGCGGTGCCTTTCGTCGAGTTTCGGTATTACTATTTTCATAAAATACTGAATTATCTCTATGCAAGTTGATGTATTCTACACACTGCTCCGTAACATTTTTTATAGCAGGAACGAATTGAGCTTGCATAGCCGGTGAGTCGAAATTTAAAAGAAATTTTTTCTAAAAGTACAGAAGCAAAAACCATGCGGAAATATAAATTAATTCACATTTGATACTCACTATATTGGCGGTACTAATTTTTCCCCGAAGTATATGTAAATTGGTTATGTCTTTTTCCAAGGTATTGTTTATATCTTCAACTATTCCGGTGGCAGATCGAATTTTTTCTTGAAGAATCTCAAAAAACTTTTCAATGCAATTTATTTGGTCTTCATAGGATGTCTTTTGTTTCCAAACGTCATATTGGGTTAGTCCCAAAGATGCACCAACTGCGGCTGCCAGTCCAAGTCCAATGCCGATGGGTGCGAAAATCACAGCCCCTATTGCAACAAAGATAGAGCCGATCAAGGTGACAATACGTACTTTCTGCTCTACATCAATCTTCTCCAGCAACTCTATTTTTTTTTGCTGTAGTATCCTTCCAGTTGAAAATCATAGGTTAGGTCATGCAAAATAGATTTAAACAGATCCCTAAGCTCGGAGGTTCGATGTAGAACATCATACAAAAGGGCTAGCGATCTTTGGCTATGAATTAGACCATAATCGAGTCCAACGACTGTCATTCTCCATAGCTCATCTCTGTCGTGCTTCATCAGTTTCTCAGAACCTATGTGGGGCAGAAAGATCGTGAAGGTAATATTGACCGTGACGCACCACTCGAACACTGGCTTCACACAGCTTGAATAGGTTTTTCGAGCTTCTGAATTCAAATTTTTCACTTGATCCAATCTGGCCTTGGCTGTTCCAGAATAACCTTTCATTGCCTTGTCAACTAAATCGATGACCTCTTGTAACTCGACGAATTTCACCCTTCGGTCCAATTCACTCTTATATAGTGCTATGGTACTTGTTATAGTTAAAATTCCCTTTTCGAGAGAGGCAATGTCTTCGTTTGCTTTGCAAACCGAACAAAGCGCTAGTGCCATTGCAAAAACAACAAGATAAGAATATTTTTCCATGACTTAACCGATCTTAGTTGCACCTCATCAATCCGAGTAAAAAAATCGCACTGCGAAGTGCATATTGGGAACCTCTCTTTATATACCCTAAGCCAGTCAAATAGTTTGAACTAATTTACAGGAATTAGTTTTATTCCATGGAACTTAGTAATGTTGTTTTAGTTGCTTATCAGCTAATCAATTTTTATCAAAAACGCCTTTCATCATTTACTTGATTCACTAGAATAGCAGGAATGCAAAAAAAGAAATGAACACAAAATTATACCTTTTCCATTCAACTGAAATTTATAAATATGAACTTTTAATATATTTACATTTGTTTCTGGAATGCCATACAAATTTATATATTGTTACATATGTATTACATATGTATTGTTGCATATATATATGTATGTTATAAATGAGTTTAATCATAAACATTCTCTTCTCTTAGTACTGTAGTACGCCTTCGATGAGGTCCTCATCCGAATCACAATCAGATTGCAATTCCGCTGCTAATAAGATGTTGTTCGGCGCTCCGGTTTTTAGATGACATCCAATCAATTTGTTTTGACCTAAATCGTTCGACCATATCGTTGCATTTTGGTAGTCTATTTTATAAATGATTCAAAATTACTTGTTTTTATATTGATTTATAATTTTGTATCATCTTCGACGTGGTAATGGCTAATTTAAAAAAAAAAAAATTTGACAAAAATGTTTTTTTTGCAATTATTGCAGAGCCAAATAGAAGAGATTGCTATGGCGAAACCAAACGTCGCTGAATATTGGGGAATTGCGAAAAAAAGGAGAAAACGGGGAAAGGTTATTAATTAGCTATAAAAAAAACGACATATGTATATTAGTGAAAACTGGCGTAATTAGTTTTTGTCAGCAACGTAAAGTCGTTATTTTTATTCCACAAGGAAATACAAGGGACTCATGTTATTTTCTATAAAAAAATAACATAAACAAAATAAACATATTGAACATTAAACTAAACACAAGCACTAAGACTACACATAAACAGAACATATTCTGTAAAAAATACATACCTTAATTTACAATTACCATTTTTATATACAGTTTGTTCGGAGAAAGAATATTTATTTTCACACAAAAAAGTAAAAAGCAATTTGCCGCCAATTTCGCATTACCGAAAAGTTTAATGCTTCGGCGAAGCATTTAAAGATTATTTTTTTTTTAGTTTTGTTGTGGCGTGGCACCGCCCCCTATTTAAAAATAACATGCTAACTGTTCGGTTTTGCACTAGTCTCACAGCTAACAGATTCACATTCAAGGTGTTGAGGTTGCCTCCTTAAATTATGAATTTCTTCGAAAGTGCATAAAAGGGCATATTCATATTTCACTCATTTGAAGAAAATTAAACAATCTACAACATGGACTTTAAAATCGCACCAAAAAATCGTAAATTCTAAGCTCATGTAAATGTTAACATCAACAGCTGTTTTTAACAGCGGATTTTTTCGCAGTGGCGCCATCTATGGAAATTTCTGGTACGCAACATTAAAAATTAATCTATTTTGAATGATATGCAGTTAAAATTATTTATATTCTTTAACTTTCAAAAAATGGTTTTTGGCCAGAAAAAGTGGTCAAATTTCCTATAGTGCATAGGCTTCAAGGGCTTCTGAACCAAAATTTTGCACTTGATCCATTCTTAGCTTGGCCAAAAGCGAAAGCCATCGCAAAAATCGAAAACCATATCGAAATGAAAACCAAACATACATATACATATATTCATGACTGCATCGATCTTAGTTGTTCCGCCCTAAACTGAATCGAACGACGCCCTGTGGAATCCTTTTATGTACTCCAAGACGATTTCATCATCTGTAATTAAACAAATAAAATAGAGTTTCGTGGAATTTTTTCACCAGCTAATACATTTATTTTTACTAAGAAAGTCATTCGTCTTTCACCAGAAGAATTATTCTTATCAAGCATAAATTTGCGGCATCATTAAATTGATTAACTAGAAAAACAAAAATGTTTCCGAATAGTTCCTCGTTGCCAGGTCAATTATATAAATTTCTATTGGCAATTATATACCTCTGGCTAACTTCACGAAAATTACTATTTTGCCCTATGATATTTTTTACCCTTCAAACTTCTGTTTAAAGAGGCAATGTCTTCGTTTGCTTTAAAAACCAAGGTAAATGCAAGATAATGACTTTTCCCGTGACTCAACCGATCTTAGATGTTTCGCATTTAACAGAACTAAAGAATGCAATGGCGAAGTGCATGTTGAGATGTATATGTGTATATTCTGTGTAAAAAGAAAATTAAAAAAAAAAAAGTTTAAAATTGTAGTTATCCACCAGTTTATGATATGATTTTTAATCCATAATATAAAACATTCCTAATAATAAAAGTCACTCCATCACTCTTTATTCCCGATTAAAAAGAAATTCTCGCAAATTCGAGTGGGATCAAAAGAAAACTTGGAAAACTTGTATGAATTTTTTGTGTTATATTTCTTGGAATTCAATAATAAAGTTTTCGATGCTTATCAGCCATTATATTTTTATTATTATTGGCTTTCGACCCCAAAAAAGCCTCACACCTCTGACATCTGCCCACTCTTTCTTAAAAAGAATCGCTTCCCTTTCTACTCCCCTTTAACTTCTGTTGTCCTTGTCGCCCTCATCTGGTAGGTTCCCTCATCGGTGGATACTTTTATAACGCCTGTCCACAAAGGAGACACCAGGTCTGATGCTACAAACCGGCCCGATGAGAGGGGGTCAGCCGGGTAATTGTCCCGGGGCCCGCAATGGACAGGGGCCCGGCAGCGGGGTCTAATTTTTATACCCTTGCAGAGCGTATTATAATTTTGTCCAAAAGTGTGCAACGCAGTGAAGGAGACATCTCCGACCCTATAAAGTATATATATTCTTGATCAGGATCACCTCCTGAGTTGATATGAGCATGTCCGTCTGTCTGTTTCTACGCGAACTAGTCTCTCAGTTTTAAAGCTATCGTCTTGAAACTTTGCACACACCCTTCTTTCCTTTGCACGCAGTATAACGGCGGGGATCGGCCGACTATATCCTATAGCTGCCATATAACTGAACGATCGGAAATAGTATTTGGTAGAAATATCAACTTTCGCATATTTGAAGATAGAAGCTTGGGACTTTTTATAGATTTTTTATTTTAGTTTATTGGTTTTATTATGATATTCTCATAAGGATCGGCCAACTGTATCCGATGTTTGCGATATATATCCGGTTTTAACTGCAAGGGTATTCCTTTCTAGCTTTCCTTTCTTGTTTTTTTTTTAAATTTTTGGATTTTTGGAAAAGGTATTTTTGGATTAATTAGTTTTTACTACTCTTGTCGTCAGTTAGTCGTTTATATTGAATCAATCTACCAAAGGAGATATTCAACCAAAGTTCAACCAAAATGTACCAAATACGTTCTGATATGTAAATAAACGGACTATAAATATCGGAACCACCCAGGGGATTTTATTAGTAGCCGTCTCAAAATGTCATTTTTATCTTTATCATCCAACTAGCCTGTAATGTGCAACGCTTCAGTGTAATTTAATGAGAGACGAAAACGAAAAAGGGCCCGTGAGGAATCCATGCCCCGGGGCCCGACATGGCTCTCGACGGCCCTGGTTACAAACTATCAATCTATAGCAGTGTTCGGCAGGGCCCTATTCCAGGGGCGTTGGAAATTTTTCTCCCCTAGCTCAGCTGCACCAAACAGTATAAAACGTATGAAACGTCATGTTCTATTAGGTTTTTATGCCCTCTTGTTAAGTTGGTTTGAATCATATATGGCAGACCGACCATGCCAAGATCCTATTACTGATGCCATCCTCATCTGGTCTTCCATCTCCTTAAGACCGCTCCTATACATTATATTCGACATCTCTTCCTGCTTTCGTCATGTCTACTGCTCTTTGTATGCTGATGACCTTAAATCTATAAGGCCATTATCTGCATTAGTGACAGTTACGTTATCCAGGAAGATACATATATGTATATATCTACAGTTTCCTCTTTTAGCACCCGCAATCTACTTCCATTAAAGTACGTAAATGTCTAAAGTACGTAAAAAGCAATTTACCCGCTACAGGCTGGAGCCGATCTCCCCTTCTTATTCTATAAACAATTAATGTTTGAGAGTTTAAGAGATTTTTTCACCTAGACTTTCCCTTTTGTCAATAATTAAGTCTCAGATAAGAAAGATGAACATCTTTTACTGAGACTTAGTAATTTTTACTAAGACAGTAATTTTAATGTTCCCCAAAGGGATCCTTCGTACCTTTGCCCCTTATGTATTAAGTATCCCAGGGCCAATTGTTAATAAGCTCAAGTATAACTTTTTAATGAGCCGTTGGAGCGTGCTTATTCTCTTATTCTTTGCCGCCTGGAATCCCCTCCGAAAAAATTGACAAGATTATTTTTCGAGCCTTGCTAATTAGGCATTTTTTATCTAGTATGTTAGTTTTTAGTTAGTTAGTTAGGCCAAATAAGGATGCGTCAGTTGGCGAAATAAATACATAATTAAAATGGTTCCTGATTTAATTAATTTACACGAAAAGAGGAAAAATAGAGAGACAGACATGCTCAACTCAGAAGGATCCTGATCAAGAACGTATGTACTGTAGAGTGTTGGAGATGTCTCATTCCCTACGTTGCACACTTTTGACCAAATTTATAATACTTTCTACAAGAATATAATAGGATCATACAAAATAATCCTTAGAAAAAGTGGAAAAGTGGAAAAGCTTCATTTCATCTGACTTACCATATCAACGTTGAAACAATTTCAGGTAGATGGAAAGAAGAATTATAGTGTGGAACTCGTAATTTTCTTTGTTCTCAATAAAAATATAGAGTATTGTACTTGAAGAACCTTCGTCAGTCGGACCTAAATTGTAGCCTAATCTGTTATATTATATCAATATTATTTTAAATATACTTCTAATTAAGTTAAGAATAAGAGTTTTCATTGCACTGCATCCCTTTTATTCATGAATTTAAAATATAAGATTATCGCAATAATTTAGAGAACATTTTTAAAGTTTTTCGCGATTTGTAGTGGAAATGGAGATGCTTGAGAGTACTTAATTTTTAAATTCCTTGCTTCTTCACGCATCCGAACCAATTCTAATTCCCGTACGAATTCAGCATTTTGATAAAAATGCCTGGTCATTGAAAAATTATCCTGGCCTTTGACGAAAGAATACACAGGAAGAGGTTTGTGGTTCAATGACTCAAGATCCTGTAATTCTTCCTCGGATTTAGGTATTTGTAATGCCTCTCGTCGAGTTCTGGTATTATTGTTTGCATAAAATGATGAATTATATCCATGCCAGGTGATGTATATCATACACTGATCCGCCAAATTTGTTAAAGCAGGAATAAATCGAGCTCGCACAAATTGAGGCTCGAAAGTCAACAAAGATTTGACCTAAAAGTAAATTTATTAATACTGAAAAAAAAACTTCATACAAATCATAAGCTTACTTGATTGGCATGATCAATTTTACCCCTTAAGAAATGTAAGTTTGTTTTATCTTCTTCGAATGCGTTATTCATATCTTCTATTATGTTTGTAGCATTCCTAATTTTATCCTCTAAAATCAGAAAAACCTGTTCAATATATTTTATTTGGTCTTCGTAGAGCGTCGTTTTATTCCATAAATGTACTTCGGTTATTCCCAAAGACCCACCAACTACTGCTGTAATTCCAAGTACAACGCAAATGGGCGAAAATACCAGAACCCCGATTGCAATAAAGATAGTGCCAATCAAGGCAATATTCGCACTTCTTATCTTCTGGTTTTTAATTTGCTCATTTCTTATCCTCTGGTGTTTTTTGCTTTGCTCCAGCCACTCGATTTTCATTTTTCCGTAGTATCCTTCCGGTAGGAAATCAGCGGTTAGGTCATGCAAGATGGATTTAAATAGATTCCTAAGCTCGTAGGATCGATGTAGTACAACATCCAAAAGCTCCAGCGATTTGTTGGTGTAATTCAACCCAGAATCGAGTTCAACGACTATCATTCTCCATAGCTCATCTTTATCGCGCTGTGAAAGGTTCGCGGTACCTATGACGGGGATAAGGGACTTGAAAGTTTCTTTCGCCGAGACGCACCACTCGAACACAGGTTTCACACAGCTTGAATAGGTGGTACGGACTTCTGAATTTAAATTTCGCACTTCATCCAATCGGTTCTTCGCTGTTCCCATATAGCCCCTCATAACCTCGTCAATTTGATCGATGACCTCTTGTAACTCCACAAATTTCACTCGTCTGTCAAATTCAATTCGGTATGTTGCTATAATTTTTGTAACACTCGCAATCCCCTTTTGGAGACTGTCCTCGTATATCCTGTCCTCCTCCTCGTTTGCTGTGCAAACCGAACCAAAGGCGATTGCCATCGCAAAAATGGCAAAATAAGGATATCGAACCATTTTCGACGAACTTTATTTGCTTTGCCTTAATCTAAATTGAACAACGCACTGCCGACGTTTATGTTGCGAATCTGCTTTATATACCCCAAAAAATTTCAATATTTTCAGTATAAATAAATTCAGAATAATAGACCATTTTATGTTGCTTATTTCTTAGAATTGCAGTCGGACGGTTACGGCTAGCAACACAACCCCGTCCCACCTCCCCAAACCCTATGTTAGGCTTAGTTATGTGATTTAAAATTTCTTAGAATTGAATTATATGGTTTCTTATGCTTATCAGCTAATATATATTTTTATATATATTTATAAACTTTATAATTTAATCATTCATTGATTGATTAAATAAAATGTATGTAAGTTATCATTTTATTATTTTTCAAATGGTTTGGATTTATGTATCCGATGTTCAATATTTATCAGGAATTGTAAACATTATAATTTTGTTCGACAAATATAAAAAATAATAACAAAGACCGATAAAATCGATTTTTTTTTTACTCTACTCACAATTTTACTTGCTTTATAACATTTTGGCTCTATTGAACCAAAGTCCAGAAAAAAAATTTATTTGAAAAATCAAAAAATAAAAATAGTACTAAAAAAATAAGTTTAAATATATGCTACAGACAAATACCTTTCATTTTGTATACATATTCATATATGTATAAATTTTCATGTGCATACTACATGAGATATTGCCCAAATTCAAATCAAATTATAATACGTACCCTTATACTCAGTTTAAAGTCGATTTTGCAAAAAAACATTCAGAAAAATTAGAACCCGACATTTAACTAAAACTTTAAAGCTAGGATGACTCGAACAACCATCAATATAAATAGCAAAACTGAACTCTTTTGTTTCAATTATATATTTATTGTATTTATTATATGCAATGTTATAATTCTGTGTTTTGTCAGTCATTCTGTATTTGTATGCGTTTTACAATTTTGTTTTGGTTTTTCTCGTAAATTATAAAATCTAACACAAAACAAAGCAATTTCTTTAACAATCACTGCCGCTACATATACATACACGTTACAATTTTTTTTAAATATATATATATAAGATTAAGCACAGCTCAAGCGCTGCGCATCCAATACATGTTCATATACATATTCTCTGTTATATGTGTGTGGGTGTGGAGTGTCGGTTTTATATATGTATAGATTAGATAACAATGATGTTAAGCCTAAGTAGAAGTAAGTTTAGTACCGATACTTGTAATCGCTCCCCGTCAGGTGCTGCTCACATCGCTCACCTGTCTCCAACTATTAAGTTACATGCTTTAACTATTTTTACTGTTACTCATACAACTAACTGTACTCGTCCTTTACGTTCCTGTCTCTATATCATACATAACATTTACCTTGACCTTGCATTGGGATTTTTTTGTTCAATTTATTTTTTATAATTGTTTTTTTTTGTTTGATTTTATAATTTATGAAAACAAGAAAATAATTTTTCTTTTGGTTTTAGATCCGTTTCGTGTGCAAGGCAAACTTTTGTATATTATCGATATTTAATTGGTTTTTCACTTGAATCGAAATGAATAAACTTTGTGGTTTAGTTTAAATGCAGAGTTTTCCTTGTGCAGCATTAACATTGTGAAGAGATAGATAGAAAGTATTCGTAGCCGTTTGGGAGAGAGTGTTACAAATACATTGTACATATATGTAGGTATGTATAAGTGGGAATTATTTTTGGTTATCAACAGCATTTAAAATTTGTTTTATTTTCGTTACTCGTTTGGATTCATCATATCAAATCGAAGGGACGTAATACATAATAATCATTTTTCGTAATTATACATTATATCGTTTGCATTGTATATGTTGTTTAGATGTACATTTATAAATAGTATAGTTTGGATTGGTATGATGCGCGTGTATGTCTTGTATAATATATCTATGAATTTATGTATGCAGGTATGTGTCCTGTGTCCGCTATGTACGTGTAGTTGTAATTGTCCTAGGTGTTCATTTCAGCTAGATTCGCTAGTTTCTTTTGTGTCTATCCGCCGTTCGATTTCCATCATTTGTATACAAGTTAAGGGTTTAAAAAACTCGAAAATATATCAAAAGTTCCTTGAAATGCAGTATATATATGTATTTTAGTTGTTAAATATATATTTTAATATATATTTGTGTATATATAGTACTTTCCTAGGTATTTACAGCATACCTTGCCTTGGTTTCCATTAAGAATTTTAGAGAAGTAATTCCGCTAGTGTTCGAATGCATAAGAGATGGTGATTGGGTGTGCGTGTGCGTGTGTGTGAGGTGAGTGTGCGTGTATTAGTAATTTAATCGAGTGTATATAGGTATTTTGTACATATAATCCAAAATGATACACTAATTGGTAGATATAGTGAGGCCAAAATTGAATATAGCACTTTAAAATGATATAGATTATTATTCATATACTGGTATGTGTTTTAGAATTTAATTATCAAAAAACAATGGCGGCTTGCCGAAAATCGAATCTCGCTTCTGTATGTGTGCACGAGTGGTCGTGTGTGGTTGGTGAAAGCGTGCGCTGGCTGCGAATTGTGTATACGTCACGTATGCCTCGAAAAATACGCTTAAAGCTGCTATAATACTGTAAAATTGTTGCTTGTTCTCCTCGTTTGTCGGTAAAGTAATTTTTGCTCACATTGTATAGCAGTTGTAGTTTTAGTTGTAGAAAAGCTAGGTAGGTTTGCTTCAGTGTCTTCAGAGTGTTTCGTGTGTTCGCCGTGTGTGTGTGTTTTGTGTTTTGTGTGATTGTGTCTTGTCTTGTCGCTTGATATGTCTGAGTTTATATTGCGCATACGAGTCGATGGCAATATTTAGTCTCAAATACATATAAAAAGTATATGTGTTGGGCTCGGGATTGGTTGGGACTAACACAAAAAAGTCGTATCGAGTTGCTGCACGCAAACGAAAAAGTCGCATTACGTATATGTCAACCAAATCGTGGGGATCTACAGTGTTTAATCCATATCATGTCATTTCGCTTCACTTTGATTTCATTTTCATTTAGTTATCATTTAAATTTTAACTAATTAAAGCCGGCTTCAATTCAACAAACAATCTGTAGCATAAATTCTTGCATTCATCATTCTCATTAAATATTATTTAGTAATCAACGATCTCGCCTCACACGATCCTGTCTCATACATCTACAGCACCACATTTTGTAACTTTACACGCCGCCTAGGCAAAGAAAGAACCCATTCAGAACCTGATTATTTATACGATTTCTTTTATATAAATATATATGTATATTAAGTACGTTTATATTGAATTTCTGCTAACTTGGTTTTAATGATTCTCTTTCCCTAGAAGATTGCGCATTTTGACGCATGGCTCCCATTCATAGCATACTTTTGTGGCGAAATATTTTACACAATTACTTGATTGGCTAGTGGCATAATTTATCGTAACTTTTGTGATATATATAATATATATAGTTTTAGTTAGTGTAATGTATTTGCTATTTGCTGATGGCTGTGGCTACACCTAACCAAAGCGATCCGTGGCTCAGTGGTAGATTTATTAGCAAGTCTTGAAGTTGAAGCTATAATTTCTTAGGCGTAATCTAAACGTTACTTCAGTATGATCGCATGCTCCTGGCCGGAGGCATTCGACTAAAGTAGTTGCGTGTCTATATGCTTGCTAATTATCAGCTATTAGCTATTAGCTATCTTTAATCGATAATCGTTTATTGCCAACGAACCGAACTGCGCAAGGCGCTCGCTCTTATTATCCTTCCATTCATTTGTACACTCCTGTTCCGATTCAAGTGTTTTCCGATTTTATATTTAAGATTTTTCTTTTTTTGACTGTGTCAGCATCTAATTAACTTTATGAGGCTGCTAAATAAATATATATTTATATACGTTTATGTGTGTGTGTTTGCGTGTATATTTTTTCGGTTATGGGGGTAGGGAACTCTTTCCGCTTTCACTTTCGGCTCGCTTTGCACTACTTGAGTTTATTGCTAATTTGACGATATTTCCGAGGACCTCCTCTCTTTTTCTCTACCACCACCTTACACATACCACTCCTTGACGTCCTTGGAGTCGCGTTTCTTGGCCTTGGGCTGTACCAGACCTGCCATCTGAGGCCTGCCATCGCTACCGTACCCCAGCGACCCACTTCCGCTGGACATCATTCCGCCGCCACCCCCGTTGCCGTTGTGTCCGTTGTGTATCTGCTGCTGGCTGTGGTGGTGCTGCTGCTGCCCCGCTCCACCACCCTGATGGTGGTGCTGCCTCTGTTGGTGGTACGAGCCGTTGGTACTCGTGTTGCCTAGAAGGGCAGCATTGGGATTGTGGGATCCGTAGGCAGCGGCCTTCTCACTCTCCGTCTTGTAGCCACGATCGCCGTTGGACTTGAGCCACAGGACCAGCAGGATAACCAGCACCACCGCAATGAGTATGCCCGCCACGATTCCGATAATCATGGCAGTGCGCTCCTCCTCGATCGAGTTAATGCGCCCACCCTTGCCCTTGGGTCGATAGTTATTCAGGTTTGTATTGTACGTATTTCCGCCGTAAGGACCATATGGCGGTGGATCCTGTGGCGGCAGTGGAGGTGGTAGTGGTGGCATTGGGTGGTGTTCGTCCGGCAGCTGCATGCGATCGTGATCATGGCTGCGACCGGAGCCGCCCATTCCACCTCCTGCAATGTACACATCATACGGTGTGGTCTCCCTTTCCGTGACCGTACTCCGGATTTCCGGAGACGGAGTGGCTTGCGTTGTGGTGGTCGTAGTGGTGGTAGTGGTTGTACTTGTGCTGGTACTGGTACTGCTGCTGGTGGCTCGCTGCGTGGAGGGGGTGGCCGCACTGCTGGTGGTGCTTGATTGTCCCGGGGTACTGCCACTTCCTCCGCCGCTGCTGCTGCTGCTGGACTGAGTGGTGGAGTAGAACGGAGTGCTTCCACTGCTACTGCTGCTGCTGTGCTGTTGCTGCTCCGTGGTGACATCGCTGCGACCAGTGGTTGTGATTGTGACCACCTCATTGTTGGATTCTGTAAAGTATTCGGGGTTTGGTTTATTTGAGTGTTCTACAATTCGAGTACCAAAGAGTTTCAAGTATGTATGTGGTTTTGGGAGTGTTTTTTGTTTTCCTATAATTAGGAACTATAAAAACTATGAGTTCCCAGAAAAAAAACGCACCTGAACTTGAATAAAGTAAAAAATAAATATTGATAACAAACGAATTAAGTTTTCTATATTTCCTTATTTTGGAAACCATCCAATCATAAAGATAATAAAAATAAAATAGTTTAAAAAAAAATAAAAAAAGACAAAAACATTTCTCATATTAGCCCTTCCCACAAAAACCACTGCAACTGACAGATTTTCTTTGCTTTTCATAGTTTATTCAACACAGTTAGAGAGGATAGAGATTTTTAGATATTGAGAGATATGCTGAGGTGTGTTCGGATTTGTATGGGTGTTCGAAAACTTTGCTCTTCACCGATATAATATGTACAAATTGAAATTGAAATACGATAACTGTTAAACTATGGAATCGAGAGAATAAATATGGAGGTAGGATCAGAAGGACGAGGAGCAGGAGCAGGAAAATTGTTTAACACAAAAACACGATCTTCACTTCTTACACGCTTCGAAACGCTGTTATCGCTACTATGTACAAAACATATACATTTTCGATCGGTGCACATACGCATACACATCTATATAGTATTGTGCTTGTAAACCTTGACACTTGACCCTTAACCCTTTGCGCTAAACCCCCTTTCGACCAAAAAAACCACGCCAATGGCAATGCCGCGTGCTCGCGCTAAGTGATCGGTGTATTTGTTGGTTAATTGATATTTTCTAGTTGGTTTCTGGTTCTTGTTGATGTTGTTTTCTGCCTGCTGTTGTTGTTCTTGTTGTAGTTGTTGCACTTGTTGCAGTTGCTGGTGGTTTAGCTCTCATTAATGCTAAGGTTAGTTATACATTTTAGACAGAGGAGAAGGCCTAGAGTTGGAAGCTTAGCCTAAGTGCATTGCTTGGTTTGCTTGGCTTTGCTTTGCATTGCTTTGCTTTGCTTTGGTTTTGGTTTGGTTTGGTTGTTTGTTTATGGGAATTTACAGAGTATCCATGGCGCAATCACAGTCAGAAATATGAAGACGTTTTCACATTCTGAAAGAGACACATAAGGCGTACTCATTGTCAGTTCAAATTAGAAGGCAACAATCAATCATCAGCAACAGAGTGGAGGTGAGAAGGAGAGGCGACGATTGAAGTTTGAAGTTGAGATACATCTGAGGTTGAGATGTATCTGATCTGTATCTGAGCTGAGATGACACGGCGAGCGATTGATTTTGGTTGGATTGGTAGTTGGTTGTTGGTTCTGGTTGGGTTGATGCATTGCGAGAGGTGCGATATGTATATTTAGATATATATATTTTATAAATTTTTTTTAACAGGCGATATATACACTCTTTCAGAGCTGTTTTGGCTGTTTCTATGTGGTTGTGTAAGCGATCAAAGCATTGGCATTGCATTTGGCATTAACCTAACTTATCCACCGTAACTCTCCGAAAAAAACTGAAAAGGCAAAGCGTCTCTAGCTAATCGGTTATAGGTTAACTTGAACTTGAACTGGAAGTCGAACGCAACTGGAACCCACAGCATAATCATTAACTCGATCATCTACACCATCTAATTGTTATGCACTACACTGCGTATACTTAATCTGAGTTTTGTGTTGGGACTAGCTAATGTCTGAGATGAAGTCTGTGGGTGTGTGTGCTTGGATTTTGTCTGACACTGTTTTGTGATTATTTTTTTTTTGGTGATCGATATAAATGCCAATGAAATCATGAGATCCCCACACCACCGGAAGACACTCACCTGATCCTCTGGCCGTGCTCGTGGAAGTGAACTGCTCCGTGGTCTCACCGTAGTCCCCGGATCCGTGGACGCAGTCCTCATCGTCGCAGGCTCTTTCCGTGCCATTGGTATTGCCACTGCCCCCGACTACGCCTCCAGTACTTAAGTTATTGCCCTGCTGGGAGGTGGTTGTCTGCTTCGTGGGCGGTACATACACCGGAGTGATCAGATCGTCTCCACTGCCCGACTCGAAGGGCGGCGTGCACTCGTCCTCGTCGTCGCCACGGCACCCGGATCCCGCTCCCGAGAAGATCAGATCATCTAGGGCACCCGGATAGCCACTCGCCGGAGTCTGTCGAGTAGAGTTGATAGTCTAATTTTACTTCAGTTGATCTGGCGGCAGCCGAGCCAAGCGATGGTTATTGTATGGGGCTTGTTAACTGGATTAGTAGGTGCTCTGCGATTAAGTTTATATGCGTGTATGATTAAATGAAGGCACTGGAGTTTGGTTTTTTTAGCTTAAGGAACATTTTCGATTGGACTTTTAATTAAATTTTGAAATTAAAACTAGCCATTAAGATGATTACAATAAGAGATCAAGATATTCTTTAGTAATTCTTTAGTAATAATTATTCTAATAATCTCGTGTATTACAAATGTTAAAGAAAAAAATCTTTTTTCTAAGTTTTGTAGTTTTGTTGTAGTTTGTTTTGTAGTATAATAACTACATATTCACACTTTTGTAAGGTAAGAATTAATAGATCTTATATACCTCCAGTGACTTCATTTATACTATTATGTTTGAGTACATTGTTGTTTGATGTGTGCTTTGATTAGAGTCATGCAGCATTAGTGCGGACGAGTTTTAGTGCATATTAAATCAGTTTATATAGCTGAATATATATATTCACAATTAATGGTTAATGTGCTGTGCAGCAATTGAAATAAATTTACGGAAATCAAATAGCTGGTTAGTGGAAATTCTGCAAATTTTCATTTCAGTTAATTGGCTTTTTTTTTTTTTTTGTTGTGCGTGAAAAGCGTTACAGAATAAAATGAAGAATATGCCCGGAGGAAATAATAAGTTAAAATTAAATGCAGCATTTACACTAGATTATACATATAGTTAGCTAATACTTTTAGTTTAGTTGAAACGGTTAACGTTTATACTGAATGTCGAACCGAATTTCCCGGATTTGATTATGATGGCGATGACTTCAATGTACAGATGGAGTTACGTTCGAAACGGTTTACGATTAACGGTTATGCATTTTAAATATAAGGAAAGTGCTTGGGAAAGTACTGTACATTATTCAAATAGGATCGGAGTTCGAATTATTGTGGTGCAATTACAAATCATGTCAAATCATTTTGGGAAAAAGGGTTCCACAACTCATGAAGCGGATTAATAAAATACATTTTTTGGTTAAATTTTCTTTTTTTTCGTTTTTTTTTTGGTTTTAATTAAAGAAAGAATTTTGAATAAACTTGGTTTACGATGAGAAAAATACTTGGAAAGTTGAAAGTTGAGAGGAATTCAAATAAAATTTCAAATAAATTCCCTAACCTGCTGCATTCTCTGCAGATCATTTCTATCTAATACTCCAGTTACCAATTGAACATCTCCGCGGATGGTGATATGGGGGTCGCGTTCTACGGCCAGATCCAGGATTCGCAACTTGTTCACCGAAAGTCCGGCAATCACGCCGGCAAACGGACGCTCGATACGATTGCGACCGTTGCGGCTGAATTTGCCGCCGACCTGAACGTTGGACATGGTATTGAACACGGTCGAGTGGTGGCCTGTGGATGAACCCAAAGAGAAGTCGAAGGAAACAGCATTAGACATCCCCGGAAGCCAAAGGATCCCTCCACTTACTCTGCGGCGTCAGTGCCTGAACGTTGTAGTCGTCCAGCTGCAGCGTGGCATTGCCTCCCTTGCGCTGGAACCTCACCACATGATAGGCGTTGTCGTTGACCTTGGTGCCAATCTCCCCCAGCGGCAAGTCCACGCTTCCGATATTGTACACCATAAAGATGTTGCCCTCCACGATCTCCAGCTCCATGTAGTCCTGGGTGGTGGCACTCTCGACTCTTAGGAGCACGGCATCCGGTCGGGTGGTTATGAAGCCCAAGGCAATGTTATCCTCCTCGGTATCGGCTTGGGCATTCTCCGGGAAGGTGTACTGTAACATGCCCTTGTTGTTGCCAAACTCATAGGCAATGGATTCTGTGGAATCCATTTAACATTTAAGTTTACTGTACAGTCCAGCTAGGTCCTTCTAACAGCTTACCATCATAGCAAGTTGGTCCTGTGTAGGAGGTCATGTCGCACTCGCAGGCATACGCATTCCACTGCTGGACACACACGCCACGGTTGGCGCAGGCATTCTGACTGCACTTGGTGGGTCCCTCGCAACCACTAACCACCAAAGAGCTTGGCACTACTGCATCACTGGTTAGTGAGGGCGACGTATCCCCCAAATCAAGTGAAGCCAGACAACCCTCGAAGCCGGAACGCGAAGAGATCGAGGCCGGCAACTTGGAGTACATGTCCTTAAATACCCCGCCGATGTACAAGATGCCCGCCAGTTCCAGGTGCATGTTGTTGCCAGTGAGACTGATGATCTCAAAGGAGTCGTCCACCGTGAGCGTGTGAGTTTTGGGTCCTGGTCGTCGGATGCTGACCTGATGCCAGCGGTTGTCGTTCATGTGGATGCGGGACTTGTCCCTCATGGTCACCGGCCCGTCGCCCAAGTCAAAGGTGTAGTGAATGTGTCCGTTCACCAGCTCCACGGCAACAAAGTCGTTGCGACGACCTCCGTTGAAAACTAGCAGTCCGTTGGGCTCCACGGTTTTGAAGCGGAAATCGATTGAGATGCTGTTGTAGGCCTTCAGCATGGCCAGACCCACGTATGAGTGCTTCGAACGGAAAGTGGCCGCGTGGTAGGGCTGTCCCGCCGGGGAGTTCACGAAGCGAGCCGTCAACTTGAAGGTGGCACTGGGCAGAGCCGATAGCTCTGGCCCCAGACTCTTGACAATGTCCAAATAACTTAAATAAAATATGTATCCTTAACTTAAATAGTTTCTTATAAAAATAAGTAAATACACACCGCTGGCCATTGAAGATAAAGCCCTGCATCTGACCCACAAAGTTCGGCATGGTGGAGGTCATTTGGATCTCCTCCTCGGCGTGGAAGAGGCCGCCCAGATGGATCGAACGGATCTCCATTGTGCTGTGGCGGCCCAGGATCGTCTCGGCTGTGGAAGGAATATTTCCAAAAACAAGAAATGGATAAAACTCGGTGGCCTCGCCATGGGTTTGTCAAGCCAGGCTCGGCTTTGCTCTAAGTTGTTGGCTAGGCAGAGTACCGTTAACATTGGATACATATGGTTATAGGTTGGTTATATATAGGTATTGGTACGAGTAGTATATGGAGTATAGTTGGTGACAAGAAGCACATACGCATATGTAGTCAAAGAGTATATATAGTAGTAGTATTAAGATATAGATATAGATATGCGGTTTTAGTAGACATAGATCTAAGTTTTGGTTCAAAGATTTTGTTCAAGCATTGGTTTTTTGTTCATTTTTTAATCACTCGACAAGTGGCTGAATGTAGTTGGAATTCGATTGTAGTACGAGTATTATATTTTATTTATTATTGCAGCTTGGTACATACTAGAGAAAGGTGCAGATTACAATACATATGTACTGGTACGGATAGTAAATTGAAGTTCTTAATAAAGACAAAAAAAAAGTAAATAATATCGAAATTGAAAATGGAAACTAGTCAGATGTCGCTGCTCCAGCGCAAACCAAAGGAAAGTAAGTAAAAGTATAGAGTTCGCTAAATTGGTTAGATTAAAGTTAGTTGGTGCGCTTTGTTCTTGTTTACAGACGAATATGCATTGCTTGACATTTGAGATATATACGAGTAGTATCTTTTCATAAGTTAGTTATTAGTAGGTGTGTGAGATACATTTCCAATACGGTTACGGTGGCGGTGAGATATTTTATTCGGTTAAGTTCGATTGAGTTTGTAACTATGCTTTTTTCCAGCTGTGCACGGCTCAAGACCAGAAACCGAAGGAAACTATAAAGGTGACAACCTACAGGCTAGTAAATGGAAATCAAAAGGTCAAAGTTGGCATCAATAATAGCCAGGGTAATTGATAAAACCAAATGGGAAAAACTGAAATAATTTCGGGTTTGCTTAACGACATTGAACTAAACATCGATGGGTATCGGTAACTCGGTCTCCATGTTTCTTGTTTAGTTTCTGTATAAATGTGTTAATCTGTGTCCTAGAGAGCTCTATTTTTGTGTGGATGTATTCTTCGAGAGTGTGTTTGGGTAGATGGGTTGGTAGAGAGTGTGTGTTAGTGAGTGTGTGTGTGTGTGCGGCGACTACGTCTAAGTTAATAAGGGTGCATTAGCCTTAACGAGTGGCCACATTGCGCATACGACGCGTTGGCCCACTGAATGATTGACATCTTGACATGCAAATGGCTGCGACGACAGAGACAGAGACAGAAAAAGAAACAGCAACAGCAGAAGAAATAGTAAGAGTAAGAGTAAGAAAAAGAGAAAGAGTAAGAGAGAAAGGGGGTGGGGTTGGGGGTGGGGGCAATGGTGTGGTCGAGAGGGTAAGCGAGAAGTAGGCCACTGTTGTTGCAGCTGGCAATTTGGCGCATTTACAGTTACTTATTCATACACTTGAATTCGCTGAGTGAACTGAGTGTGATACGAGGCGATGCGATGCGATGCGTAGGCGAACGATACGATTATACGATATAGTACAGTATAGTACAGTACGAGACAAAAATATACATATATAGTAGACTGTATAGAACAGAGGGCTAGCCAACTGGTAATCAGACCTATACATTGCAGATCGTGAGCAGGTCATGCGCTTCTCTATCATTCCGACTGACAGTTATTGGTCTTGCTTTTTATTGCTGCTGTTTGTTTATTTGTATTACGGCTTTTTGGGTGCTCACATGCAAACGCTTCACGTGGGCGTGTGGGTGTTCTTGTGTGCAACGGTGCGTATGTGTGATGTGTGCCTTTGCCTGTGCCGGTGCAGGTGTGCGACGCTTTCGATTCTCAGAGTGTGTCTGTGTGTTTGTTTCTGTTTGGACGGGCAGGAGCAGGATCCAGCTTAAAGGTTCAGCCTTCCCCATCGCCTGCCCCTTTACTTTTCCATCTATTTTTACTTTTTTACTGTATTGTTGTTGTTGTTGATTTTTTTTGACACACTTACACAACAAGAAACTAATTTGTACGTGAGACACGTTAGGCTTGATTAATTAGTTGCAATTTGGTTTGCGGTTGCGGTATGCGGTATTGTTGTATTGATGTTTACGAATAGTTGAGTTTACTTAACACAAAAGCTAATTACATATTAAATGGTGCAAAATTACAGCCCTGGGCGTTTCCAAACATTGTTTTGCCCTCTCGTCTCAATCAGCCCCAGCCCCTCCCCATTCCGCAATGCCACTCAATGCCCATACAAATCGCAATAGAAATCGCAATTTGCCGATGCCGATGGCGTTGGCGATGTTGAGGTGATGGCGTGACTTTCATCGAGCGATTTGGGCAAAAAAATGTTACCCCGAGTTCTTGCGTGTCGATTTTTTCTCTCGCCTAAAACATGATACAAAAATACAATATTGTACATAGAAATTATTTACGTTGCCTTCACGTCATTGTACGGTTCTCGCCTTACTCATTTTCTCTGTGGCATTATTAATGAAATGTTTTTTTTTTCATTCAGTTTTTTTCCAGTTTTTTAAGAAGGTCGTTTAGATCACATTTGTGATTAGGAAATTGCATTTGCATATGACATTGTTGGTTGTTGGCTGTTGTGGTCTACACTTAATAGACGTCTGAAACAAACACCTTTTAACGTTAACATACCGCACGTGTCGTTTAAGTTATGGTACAGCAATTATTTGTTTATTTTCATTATTTAGATTATCAAAGGACTTGAAACGATAACTCATTTTCCAGGTAAATGTATATACAGAAAGCAAAAGGAAACACAAAATATACATACAGATATTTTTCAATTTGTTGATTACTTCTTAGGATAGGGGGGTTAATCAATTAACAGAATTATCGAATAAAAGCAAAGAACACAACTTTGGTTATCAAGGACAAAACAATTTACAAGACAATCAATAGTAATCGTATTTATAACACTTAAGGCTGAAACTTTACAGCTGTCCAACTTTAATTCGCTTTCGCGGTTACTCATATATGATTACAATAGTATTTTCAGATACGTTGACTGTGTGGGCTTAGGAATTGAAATTTGAATGATAATTGTAGTTGTAATTGTAATTGTAATTGTAATTGGAGTTGGATTTTAATTGGCAATCTTAATTGGGAAATCAAACAAAGTAAGTAAGTATCGCAAATGAAGACACAACATCGAGACGTTTGAAAGAGTTTTGTTTTTCGAGAGAAACTTACAAGAGCAAAATATATAAAAAAATTTTAAATGAGTATTGGAAAATGCGATCGAATCCTTAAACCCAATCTGAATTGGATTATTCGAATAAATCGAATGAGTGATGGCGGGATGTAAACAAATTTTCAGAGAGGCGTACAATGTGTATTAAATGGTGTGGATGTGGATGTGGAGCTGGAGCTTGTGGTGTCTTATGATGTTCAAAACTATAGATTGCAGATGCTTAAACGATGTTCAGAGATACAGAGCGAAATAGACGTAGGTGGTTAGAGAGAGATAGCTGTCAAATCAGTTAGTTCATCATCATCATAATCGAGAAATGTTTCATGATAAATGAGCATTGAAGAGAAAGAGAGAAATAAACTTGCTAAATACTTTCCAAATTTTCTTTAGTTCGTTTTTTTCTGTAGTTTTTTTACTGCATTTTTGTTGTTCTTAGTGGGTGGGTGGGTGTTACTCGCATGTGTGTTGAAGTTTGTGTGTGTGGTGGTGATGTTGTGTCGGTGTGAGAATTGTTGTTGGTAACTGAAAAGCTCTCAAACGAAAAAGTTTAAGTGGAACTTAAAAACGGAAAACGCGCTGCTGACTGCACTTTCCTTCTTTATTGATTTTTTCATTTTCCTTGCAATTTTCTTTGTTTTTGTTTTTTGCTAGTATCTTTTGCTTTCCAACTGTCCTTAAGCACCTTCACACACCTTCCTGTTTAAAGAGGGGGCATTACTATTTGAACTTGAACCTGCGGATATCGAGGTTGTGCGTGGAGCACTCTACATGGAAGCTAATCGGATTCACTTTCGCTTTGCGATGTGAACGCCAGTTACTCGATTGGAGTGACTAGAGCCAGGAGTTGTTGGTTGTCGATTGGTTGGTAGGTTGATTGATTGATTGGTTGGTTGGTTGGTTGGTTGGTAAAAAAAAACGACACGGCACGACACGTAGTAGGGCTTAGATGTGCTGTTGATACATACATAACATACCCCTGACGGGGGGAGCCCCGTCAACTTGAAGCCGCAGATTTGAGGCTCTGCGCGAGAATCGGATCGTGTGCCAGTTGTTGTCATTGAGCACGGATTGGCCGGCCAGCAGGTTCTGAAAAGGATTTCATAAACTCAGAAATATTTTATTATAGACCTGTCAAAAGAAACATAACTTAATCACCCTAAATAAAAAAACGGACTATTCTTGTAAAAGTTGATATAGTTATCATTAATTGTTAATTTATAAACAAAATCGTGGATTTTGAGAAGCCGAAACTTGTGCCATTATATCATTTTAAAGATCCTTGCTTAAAAACCACAATAATAAAGGAAATTCCCATTTCCACCAGATGAGCTCACCTTCTCCCTGTCGCTCAGCCTGACACTGGCTCTCACCCGTCCCGCCACCAAAGCGATCTCCAAGCGATCCGGTGAATTGGACTCGGCACTGGTCAGCAACAAAAGTCCAGCCGGCCGAGAGGTCTTGAAGCGGATGACCAGCTCCTCGGTCTGTGTCTTAGTTCCCTGACCGTTGCCCAGCCAGATGGTCATGTGCTGGCTGCCATTGAAGGCAAGGGTGGCCAGTTCCCGGCCGCAGGTGGGTCCTCCGTACAGGGTGGCCGAACAGTCGCAGATGGGGCGGTTCCAGCCCTCCAGGCAGGTGCCGCCGTTGAGGCAGGGGTTGCCGTTGCACACGTTGCTCTGCACATGGCATGATGGCTTCACGGAGGCTGTCGTGGCAAGTGGGTTATCAGTGGGTGACCATCAGTAGCGTGCTTTCTGGCTGCGGTACTCACCCGAATCCTGGACGCGTGCAAAGGCCGCAATATCGATCGGCTTGCCACTCAGCTGCAGGTCACGCAAGCAACCCACGAATCCCTGGCGCAGCGTGGCTGTCCAAATGGCCGCCGGCCAGGCAATGGTGTTGTATGCGGGTCCTACTCCTCCCAGATACATGTGACCATCCAGCTCGAGGATGGTGCCATCGCCGGGAGTGCGGAAATCGTTCCACACGCCGTCCACGCTCACCTTGGCGTCTCGTCCATTCCGCCTTAAAATCAGGTCATGCCAATCACCATCGTCCACACGTCGTCGCGAAGCTCGAACCTTGGAGGCTCCAGATCCCAGATCCAAATGGATGTATATGTGGCCGTTTAACAGTTCAATGGCAATCAAAACGGGCTAAGGACAATACATTTTAGTTTACTTCTGAAATGGAATAGGGATATCCTTAACCGTAACTTACATTCTTAGCTCTTGGTTGCTTGGATCCAGTGGCCAGGACAATAATTCCATTGGGTTCCTTGGTGCGGAACTTGAAGCTTATGGAACTCTGCTTGCCAGTTTCCCAGGGAGGTAAGACCAGGTGCGACTCTCGAGTTGTAAATGTGACTGGGTCCTGAGGATCGCCACTGGGGCATTGATACTCCACATTTCCTGCCACCTGGATCAGCTTGGAACCGCTTTTGGCCAGATCTATCAGATTGAGATTCAACGTATCCGCCGAAAACTCCACTTTCCGTAGGCAGCCAACAAAGTTGTTGTGGACACGGGCTCCCAGTAGGGCTCTGGGGTTAACAGCTCCCCCCACATATACCCGCGAGGAGGATAACATGGTAAACTTGCCAGCAATGTGAGAGTGATCCGTATACACATCATCCACGACAGTGACCAGCTAGAAAACAAAATAATTGAAACATCAGGTACAGTCTCAGATGGGAATAGCTCAGATTCTTACCCGACAGAAGCTGGTAATGGAGGATATCTCCTGGATGCGACGATGCACGGTAACTTTGTGCCATTGATGGTCGTCGAATCGCACCTTCGAGGGCTTGATGTGCATTTCCTGTTTCCCGTTGGCCAAGCCCATTGTAAGCGAAACGCCGCCATCCCGGAGGGCCAGGTTCAGATAGTCAGTGCCGTGTCCCGTGTAAAAGAGCAGACCGTTTGGCTGGCGGGTGCGGAAATAGAAGGATATGGCATCCTGGGCACTCACTATCGGCTCGGCGCCCGTCTGACCCAAGTCGTACGAGAGGAACTGTGTACCGCGGAACGTTGCTTCCGATGGCGCCTTCTCCTTCTCACAATACTGGCCATCGTACTCGAGATTTCGACACTCGCAAATTGGACCGGAATCAGTGGATATGCAGATGCCTCCGTGCTGGCAAGGATCGTTGCGCTCGCAGGCATCCGTGGTGTTGCCGCGAACGCCCTAAAGGAGTATTTACAAAGATTATAAAGTAGGAGGGCTATGATTATGTCATTTTTTAACGGTATAATATTTTATACTAAGAACTCATCACATTATTAAAGTTAAGGGTGGATTAGCAAATATGAATGACCTGTACCTTAAGTTCAATATATATTAGAAAAGAATAATTTATTAAAACATACCCTTAAAGGCCTCTCACGGGCTTGCATCTCTCCATGATCGCAGGGCACATCGCCGCACTTGATATCACGCGGCTGCTTGATCTCCTGACGCCTGGTGGAGCCGCCCGGCTGATCAGCGTAGACCAGGTTCCGGATGGCACCCCGGAAACGCGGCTCGAAGATGACACTGGGCAGGGCGAGAAGTGCCAGCTTTGTGCTGTACCAGTTGGGCATTCCACCCACATAGACGTCCGAGTTGCTGGCGAACTTTCCGAACTGGAACTCCTTGCCCTTGGCGGAGCGCTGCTGGGAGACGCCGTCCACGATGAGGGAGGTTTGTTCGTCGTTCCGAAGGACTTGCACCTTGTGCCAGTGGCCGTCATGCAGCTCCCGTCCCACAGTAATGATCTGGGCTCCGCCGCCCAGGTTGTACCTCAGCCGGAGAGCGCCCTCCACCAACTTCAGCTCGAAGAAATCGTAGGTGCCACCGTCGTCGGTATAGAGGACCAGTCCATTGGGCTGCTCCGTCTTGAACTCCAGTTCCAGGGTGCCGTTCAGTCCGGTGTACCATTTTCGGAACGTGTAGAAGGAGTTCTGGGACCCGTCCAGCTGGAAGCCAGCACTGAGGGTCACGAAACTGGCCGCCAAGCTGACCAGGAGGGCGGTGACGACCAGCACGCGATAAGAGCGTCGGTATTCGACCACCAGGGGATTACGGTTGGGATTTGACTTGGAATGGGCATTGCTATGCCCCAGAGGCGCAGCCACCTCTCTTCGCCGGCGTCGCGCCTTGTTGAACCGCAAGTCCGGGGAGGCGGAGGAGGCAGAGGCGTGACGCTGAGTGGGCAGGAGTCTGAGCTCCGCCGGATTTCGATCCATATCCTTGTCCATAGTTGGTTGCCTTGCTGTCAATGCTGCTGGAGCATAGTTCTTCGTGGTCTGGTTATCCTGATATGTTGCAGTTGGCGCCTTCATTCACACAAACACACACTAACACAGCTACACATACGCACGCACGTTGCGCGCGTAAACGTAAAGTGTCGTCTTGTTCTCGCGGCTCTCTTTTGGTTTTCCTTTTCTTTCTATTTCTATTTTGTATTTTTTGCGTATTCCAGTCCTTGAGGGAAAAGCTTTGGATGTCCTTGCGATGGTTACTCTGGAATCGTTTTATCCGCGCCTGCAGCTTTCATTCAGTGAGAGAGCGCGTTGAGAGCGAGAAGGTAAAAGCTCTTGGACAGCTAACGGTACTGCACTGATTACTACTGATTTGGCCAGGATTCCTGGTCCTCACTGCACTGTTTTATGAGATGTTTTGGCATTTCTTGCACTGCATATGCAAAATGTTTGGCAAACTAATTACGAACACGCACATATCGCCGATTGAACGGGTCAAACAGCCGCTAAAAGTCGAGTGGTTGCTGCTTCGAGGGTGGTTGGACTACAACTGCTTAATGTGGTCGTGGTGGTTTCGGGGCCAAAAGCTCGCCGGATACCCATGCTACCCGATGCTGCTGTGGCGCCCACGAGCGCTCCAACGTACATGTACATACTAAAAATCGGAAAAATTTTTCACTGCATGACCAAGAATGTAGGCGAAAATTTTTCGTAGTCCCCGAAAAGCGGAAGGCCGACTGTAATTAATTAGTTATTGATAGACATCGATTGAAGCTATTGATTGGACATATTCCCATTTCCCACATACACTATTATTTATTTAATTGCACAATTATTTAATGCCTTTTCCTTTTTCTATTTGCACACTCGCTTGATTCCCATTTTATACTTTATGTAACGATTTGCGTTTGGATTGACCGCGGGCTTCGTTTTCTTATTAATTTTGGGGATTTTTTCACATTTTTCGGGTTGAACTTGGGGATACAAAAATTTTGTGTGTCGAATTTTGCTGCGGAGTGGCTTCCGCTGCTCTTGGCTCCGTTATCGATCCGTGCTGCATCCACGACAAGACTGAACTGCAATTTCAAACTTAATTTCTTCGCACTGTTTCCAATGGATAACGAAAGCTCCACCAGCTTATTCACAAAAAGCCATTGGAGCGGCCTAGGCGACTCGAATGGTGTTCCCTGCAATGGCTTCTTGACGAAATTTTTCCATTTTATCCTATTATTAACATTATATACTCATTTATAATAATATTTTGATAAGCACTAGCTTAAAAACAATACAAATTTCCTTCAGAAACGCTTAAAACCTTACTGTAGCCCTGAAATGTATGCTACGAAAAGCTGATGGACCTTGAAGCCCAAGTGTAGTGTGTGGGAATGCCAAAAATTAAAAGCTCGCTTACTTCGCACGAGGCATTCATATGCGTACTACTAACACACAAACACCCACACATGCGTAATGTGCGCATATCACGCAGGTTCATAACCTGCACCACTCGAAGCGTATTAGATGGGACACCCATACAACCGCACTCCCACACAAATGCAGATACACATGATCCTGTGGGTGGGCCTGTGACCACCCGTCCACTATCTCAGAGACGACCCGTGTAAATTCCTTGACATTTACTACGCAAACTTCGATGACTCGGTGTCAAATTGGATTTGCATTTGCAATGAAAATTGTGGCATGTCCTTTGAGCGAATGTGTGTGGGCGTAATGGCTTGTAATTTTCTTTCCCTTTTTCCCTACCCGTTGAGGAATTGCAAGGCCACCGCCACCATAAATCGTCGTCATAGCGAGCACATTAACTTGAGAACACCAATCACGCACTGACCATTATTAAACAAGGCACTAAGTGCCCGAGCTCTTACATTTTTTAATAATATTTAAACGCACGCCAAAGGCTAAACAAATGCCAGCACGTGCTGTCCATTGTCCTTCACATTTGTGACGTCGATAAAGGAATAAAAAGGACTGGGGACTCCGAATGGCTGAATGACGGTAAAAGCTTCATTTTGAGTTAACCGCCCAACAAAATACCAGTAAGAAAAAAGTTTATTTTTTTTTAATTTTTATAATTATAACATAAAAGATACATGGTATTGCTAAAAATATGAATAGTTCATTTATGGAAAGTGTAAGTTTTCCAAGTATTCGGTTTATTATATGGGAAATACATTATTCAATGAATTCTGAATACATTTTGAAGGCCTATTTTATTTGTTTATATATTTATAATTATAACATTTTTGTAAATAATTATTATATTTTTTTATAATTAATATAATTATAACAATTATAACATTTAATATATAATAACAATAAATAGATTCTAAATAAAAAAAGTCTCAAAAGATATATACCAAAAGTTCCAATCAAAATCTGAGTAGAGTTGCCAGACCTCAAATTATTTTAAAAATGGTGCTACCGTACTTACCGCGCCATTTAATAATCGGAAACTATAAACGAATTTCTTCGGATTAAGGCCTTAAACCACTTTTATCTTATAACCAAGCAGCATTTTTTTACTTTATAGGTTTCAGGAGGGGAAAAAAATTGTTAAGACCCATTACACTGCCTCCTCAAAGTCTGGCAGCGCTATCAAAACATTACACAGCTGTTCTTATCAACGGATGTTTATCAAGTGCACTTTACAAGGTAGACGCTTTTCAAAGATTTGCACAAGCCACAAACCTTTTATGGGAAATCTAAAGTGCACTCAAGTTCGACTATATAGTTTGTTGTCATCTTCTAGAGTCCCTGCACCATTACGTAATGCTTGTCAATTTAGGAAGGCACCTACGATCCCCCCTCCTTAATTGTATGTTGCACACGGAAAGAAAAGTGCGGGTTAATGGAACAGACCTCAATGTCGTGGAATCTGGAAGTGGAGATCGGAGCTTGCTGCTGATGCCAGGAGCACTGGGCTCAGCCTGGACGGATTTCAAACCCCAAATCGAGCAACTTCCCAAGCTACTGCCAGAGTACACGATCATTGCCTGGGATCCGCCGGGTTACGGAAAATCTGTTCCTCCCAAACGCCAGTTTGGTTTGGAGTTCTTCCGGGAGGATGCCAAGGCGGCAGTGGATCTGATGCGCGCCCTTGATAGGCCCAAGTTTTCCATCCTCGGTTGGAGTGATGGCGGAATCACAGCACTTATCGTAGCCGGCCGCTACGCGGAGGCAGTGGATCGATTGGCCATCTGGGGAGCCGGCGCCTATCTAAATGCCGATGAGGTGAAGGCTCTTCGCAATATCCGTGACGTGTCGAAGTGGTCGCCGAGGATGCGGGAGCCCATGGAGAAGGTGTACGGGGTAGATAGATTTGCACAGCTCTGGGGCGAATGGGTGGATGCTGCCTGTGCCTTCTACGATCAACGCGACGGAGACTTCTGTCGCAATGAAGTGGAGCAGGTGAAGGCTCCAACCTTCATTTTGCATGGAAAAAAGGATCCCATGATAGCAGCAGAGCACATACCTTGGTTAAAAGAACGACTACCCAATGCCAAATATTACGAGTTCCCCGAGGGAAAACACAATATCCATCTGCGATATGCAGAGGACTTTAACAAACTGGTGGCAGATTTTTTTAATAAAAACTAATTTCGAATTAATTTCCAATTTAAGAAAACATGGCAACAATTGTGATGAATCTGCTGTTAGATTTAAATCAAACGGACCAACTAAAGCCAAACGCAACTTTGTTCTTTAATTAATTGACAAAAGCTATCAAAAGTGAGCCGGCAACTGTCCATAGGTCGAAAGTGATAGTTGCTGTGAATCAAACCCATATCTAAACTGAAGGAAATTGTTTATCTAGCCCATGAATCACGTAAAACTAATTGAGGAATATTCCATATCAGTTGACTAGTAAGTGCGATTCTCAAAGTGAATGAAAGTGGCAACCGCCTTAATCCCACAGAGAAATTTAAGTCGTTTGTACTCCTCTTCAAAAGAGAGTCACGTGAATCCAGAGAGATTTCTTATCTGCAACTTATAAGAGTGACTAATAAATTTAAATTTTATATAAGGACTTTGAACTAGATTCTAAAACAAGGGCCAAGACCAACTAATAAAGCTGACAATAATCCACCTCAGAGAAATAAATGAATCATTTGAATTTTGTTATGAAACTAGTATTTAATATTTATTATTTCACAGATCGCTGATCAGTTCATGGCCAGATTACTTGACGGTTTCGAGGAGAGTGTTCACGTACTCGTCAAACTGGGCCTGGAAGAAGTTGCCGGCAACGGGTCCGCCGAAGCTGTACTTCTGGATGTAGTCGCGGGCCTTGACGTTGGTACGGCCGGTGCGGCTGGTCTTGGACACGAACTTCTCGGTGGTGATCTTGTCGTTCTGCTTGAACACCAGGAACACGTAACGGTGCAGGCCGGTTCCCTCGCGGGGTCCAGCGCCAATGTATTCGGCGATGGTCTGGCCCTCAGACACCTTGTTGCCGGGGATGTTGATCACCAGCCAGTGGAGCAGCTCACGCAGTTTGGGGTCGGCACGGCTGGGTGCATCGGGATCCACCAGCAGAAGGGTGTACAGAGATCCGGCCTCGGCTTCGAACTCAACGGTGGGAATGTCCTTAACCTGAGTGGGCGTCAGCTCGTTGCCGAGAGTCACCTGAGCACCGGAGGGGTAGGTGATGGTGGCCTTGGAGGCGGGCTTGACGTCGATGATGTCGGGAATGATGCCAGCGGTGTCCATGTTAGCTAGTGTGGTTCCTTCTGCTTCTGCGAAATGACTCTGGCCCGGAACCCCGAGCACCAGCCTTTTATCGTCGCAACCTGGACGTTTCCCTAATCAGTTCCGTGCACTTTACTGTTAATACCCCGACGCATAGATAGTGAGATAAGCGAATGGTTCGACTTTATTATTGGGTTGAAATGGAAAACTGTGCATGATATATGCAAAATCTTAGCCGATTATGGTTTTGTTGCGGATAGGCACATAGTCATCATACTGTGCCTGATAGTAGTTGGCGGCAATGGGTTCCCCCAATCCATGTTTGGCGGCAAACTGACGAGCGCTGAAGTTCAGGCGTCCGGCACGAACACTAAAACGGAAAAGCCTAAGTAAACATGATAACTACTTTTGATTTTTTGAATGTCTTACTTGTTGGGAATAGTTTGACCCTCCTCGATCTTATTCCCCTGGCGATAGACCAAGAAAATGTAGCGGTGAAGGCCAGTGCCCTCCGGGGGACCGGAACCAATATAGGCCGCTAGCGGAAAACCAGTGGCGATGTCGTTGCCCTTGATGTTGACCACTGCCCAGTGCAGAATCTCACGGAACTTGGGATCCTGCCGTGTAGGGGCATCGGGATCCACCATGAGCAGGGTGTACAGACTATCTCCTTCGGGCGCACACCATTGGACAGTCGGCGGGTCCTTCACCTGGGTGGGGGTCAGCTCATTGCCCCGACACACGACATTGCATTCGCCATAGGAAACCTGCACAATGCCGGCGGGGACGGCATCCACCACATCGGGAACTATGTCTTCCATGTTACGTGTCAGTTGAAAAGGATGATTGTACTCTTTTTTTTTCTTTTGGCCTTATCAGCGATGACCAAGCCGGCTGGGTGATAACAAGCAAGAGCTTCTTAGTGATAAAGCGGATGTCTTTCGGTTTTTAATAAAGTTTCCAGTTTAATTAATATCTGGATGTTGAAGTCCACAAGGTCATACTGCGATGGCAACAGCTCAAACCTATAAATATTGGTTTTATGGACGAACAACTATAAACTTTATCACGGTTAGCCAACTGATTGGTCAAGTGCGATCCGTCAGATTTGTTTTCAAAGGTAAATAAGGTGAAAAAAGCCCTATAACTATTCCGTTGAAAAAGCTTTCCTGACAGTTGGCATTATTTAGGAAATTTTTACTAATAACACCAGAAATAAATTGCTTTATAGCAGGCGTGAGTCATAAATTTGAAACTAGTTAGAGCGCCTATGGTAGCAGATGTTTATAGTTATACATAGGTGGCTTTTTTGGTTTGTTGAAGCCGCAGTTTCCACTAGCGAGCTTCCACTGTGCACACCTGATAGGATAGACCGCCCTTATGAGGGCCATTAAGTCATATATTCTACAATTGCACTGTTGTATGATTACAGCAAGGGGTCATCAATCTTTCGCAAGATAACCAATCGATGATATACGAACGACAATCCATGTTAAAGATTCAGGAAACACAAAATTAGTATATATATCTTGCTATTTATTAAACAATTCGAATATTATTAACACTTGAATATCAATATTGATAGCGCTGACAGAGAGTTTTGGTCTACTAAACACGCTTAGTTGCATTTGTCGCCTTTGTTCTTTGCACAATGAAATAATATATAATATTTATGTATAATTATAAGATAATACAAATAATAATCAGAAATTGTGAAACGAGAGCGTGAGATTTGAGGGCCGTCCCGCGAGGCGACGATTTTAAAAACAACATAGTTTACAATTACAAGATAGGGTAAATAATAGTAGCTAGTGGTATGTCTATACGGCATATGATATCTGGAACATCCGGAAACTGCGGATAGCCAGAGTTCTGGAACTAATCTTGGAATACAATAACTGCTGGTTCAATTTGATTGAGGAAATACCAATGAATGCGGTACACGTAACACGTTCTCTTATTTTCATGTCGGTAAATTCAACTGTGATACTCATGCTCATGGATTGCTCCAAGCATCCGCACTAACAGCGAGTCTCGTAGAGACCACTGCGTCCGATATAACGCACCCATTTGACGACGTCGTGGTCGGAGTAGTTCAGTTTGGGCTCAAACACCTTCAAGTAACGCACCTTGAAGCCGGATGGCGCGAACGGCACCTCGAAGTTCATCGAAATGGGCGGCCGAGTCCACTTCTTCTTGGTGTCTGTTTCGAGCAGTTCAATCTCGGCAGACAACTGAGTCTCCTTCATTCCAGCCATGCGCTTTATCTTCCACACGATGGCATTCTCCGAGGCCTTGTACTTGGCCTTACCCTTCAAGCAGATCAACTGCACGCCAGAAGTGTTGAGCGGTGTCGGGATCTTAACCTCGATCTTTTGGCCCAGTAGCGAGGGCTTGAAGTTGGACTTGAGCACCACCTTCACCTCCATCTTGGTTCGTCCTACCTCGCGCACCAGTGGAATGACTCGGAACGGCAGTGAAATGTCTTTGGTAGTGCGGTAGCGCATCAGTTCGAACTCCCCGTCCGGCGGGATGAAGCTGATCGAGTGCTCCGTCTCGAACTTGCTCAGCTTGACGCACTGATGGAACTGGCAATCATCGATGACGACAACAGGCTTTCCAGAACGCGAGGTTTCCGCCTCGGAGTTGCCGGACAAGCCACGACCCTTTGACTCCATCACAATCTTGTCGTTAATGCCGAATTTGCATTCGGGCATGCCTGCAAAACGGAATTAGATTTCTTATACTGATACTTCTAATAAAAGGTACATTTTTAAGAGGATGATTCCCATTAATGGTTGAGATTTCTTACCTGACAGATATGATTTCATAACCACCTTGCCGGCAACGTGAGCAGACAGCACCTGGCCCTGAGGGCTCATTAGTAAGTTAACGTACTCTAGCACGTCCAGGAAGAGCTCGTTGCGTCGGTACTTGATGCCCTCTCGCCGCCAGCCGATCTGGCCGGTAACCTGCGATGTGATTTGCATCTGCTCCTCCTTAGTGGCCGACTTGATGCCCTGCTGCGTGATGAAGGTCTTCAAGGTTCCAGAATCGGTGTTCTGCGGGTAGCCGAAGTCCAGGATCTCGTCAAGCAACTCGTAGATTAGGACGAAGTTGTTCTTGATGTTCTCCTCGGAAATCTTGCCGAAATACGACTGCATCACCTCGATTATCTTCAGCAGGAACTCAAAAACCATGGCAGCATTGACATTCTGCTTGGTCACAGCAGCCAACCAGATATTCGCCCGCTGAAAAGATTGGCACAATGAAGGACTCTGGCAAAGAAGGGGGTCCACGAGCCTACCTTAATGTGAAAGAAGCTGGTCCGAGCGATGTTGGTCACCGGAGAGCGAACCTGCTGGCGGGCGTGGATGACGTTGACCCGAAAGGCGTCCACAGCATTGCGGCCGATGTCATCGCGATAAACTCGCGAGATGAGCACCTCGCCCTTGTGGTTGTAGACGAACAGGCCGCCGATCATCTTGTGCGCTCTCTGCTAGGAGGTCCTGTATGGGCTATTTGGATCCTGCACGGAAAGTTTGCCACCAGAGGAATTGCCAAAAAAAACTACAAGCGAAAATTTTTATCAGAAAATCAATTTTCACTCCCCTTTAGTGTGTCCGTAGATCGCAACTTCCAAAATCCAAGACTTTTAGTACCACCTCCATGGCGCTAATCAAAAAGAATTTATTGCGGAGATATTTTAGTTAAAGTTAACAATAGCTTAGTTATTTTCAATTATGCATAAACTAAATGTAAAATTAATAATCTTAAAATGGTTTTCGACATTTATCGTGGAAAAAGCAAGCGCCGAAATGACTTTTAACTTTAACATATTCAAAAATTTCAATATTTGGTAAATAAGTGTTTTTTTCGTAACAAATATACATATATAATAAATTATTAATATATTATATTTTATGTATTTTTTAAGATTTTTTAATCTAGGAACTTTGAAGACGTTTTAGGGTCTAAAAACAGCTTAATTTGGCTTGAAATTAATGCACTACTTTCGGGCATCCCTGCCCAGACAGTGCGACCAGACTTTGTTTAGAGAGAAGAGAAAATTTTATCTCTTTTTTCCTCTCTTAATGTTTTTAGTCTAGAACTAAAGTTTGGAACATCTTTTTAAGTTGGCAGCGCTCTTTTCATTTGTGGCAACCCTGTTCAAGAAGTAAAAAATAGTAAATAAAAATAATGTTTTGGTCAACGGAACAGGTCGAGGGCATGCTCAACGTGCTCAAGACCTCCACAGACCGTACGGTAATCTACAAATGTTTGGTTAAGCTGCGAACTGATTTGGTGAAGGACAAAACTGGCATTGAGTTATTTCGCACTTCAGGTGGTATTCCAGTGATGGTAAGTTTGACATTCACATCGCTCCTGTCAATGAGTTTGAGAAGCACTGGCTTGCACAATATAAGATCAAAACCGACGTTCTAAATCAAATGATAATGAAAGATACTTCCACAGGTGCGCCTGATAACAAAGCTGAATGAGAAAATAATGGAAGTAGTTCTCAGTATATTGGGAAATTGCTGTACAGACGAGCTGTCATGTATCGAGGTGAGTAATGATTGTATTTTCATTTTGATAGTGGACTAATTAGAAACGGGTTTCCTATAAAATCCTAAAATATATAAAATTTTTATAGTAATTTTCGCTTTAATTTTTTTATCACTATCATTTTTTTTATGCTGATTTTAATTTATACTTTTATTTAGGCCGTGGAGTTGAAAGTTATTTCCCCATTGTTGACCATTTTGAAAACCATTCCCAACCCTGTGATCCAATGCCGAGCCTGCCGTATGTTGGGGAACTTGGCCAAAAGCAAGAAGGCGGCTCAGTACCTACAAGTGCATTATGCGGCCATTGCCCCCGCCATCTGCCACATTATCGAATCAACCAGCGCCGTGCAGACCCGCATCATGGCATTCCGCGTCTGCCGCTTCCTGCTGGTCAGCAGCCAGTTTCTCAAAAATTTTCTCATGGCCAACGGGTTTATGCAGCTAATGCAGATATTTGTGTCCGTGATGAAAAACGATGAGGTGCCCAAGGAGCCCATACCGGACATTGAGGTAGCAACGCTGATTGGCCTCAAACGAAACCAGCACCGAGAGAAGTACTTTGAGGAGGTGGCCCGCAACCTGGAGGGAGTGCGTAGCGACATATTCGATTACCAAATGCTGAAGAACTCAAAGCGGAATTGTGACTATGCCATTCCCAAGGAGAACCCCTCTGCCTTGGAGCTGGCCCATGAGATTTTAAAATGTCTGGTGCTGATATCCGCACAGAAGATTGACATGAAGGCCTGGGAGGTAATTCAGCTTCAAACTAAAAAAGATTAACATTAACACCTGTAATCTGTTTTTCCGCAGTCGATTTCTCGTAACACTTCACTGGCAACTATAGTGTGCTTCGTCAAGGAGGACAGTGACCAGCGAGCGGCAGCATTAAAGATCCTTTCCAATTTCTGCAAGGATCCTTGCGCCTTCTATATGCTAAGCACCGCAGATGCTATTGTGGCTGCCTGTGAGATGCTTATGGCGGTTAACATGGCAAAGCCCCTCACTGAAAGCGAGGTCCGGCATTGCATCAATATTATATCCACCCTGTCCACAGATGCCTGTAGCCGCTCCAAGATCAGACGATGTGGAGCTTTGCGTAAGCTGGTGGCTTTAATACGGGACTCGAATTCTCAAAGCGAGCGATCTTCGGCAAGAAAAATATAGATTCTTAGTTTCAGCAATGAAAACTAATATATTATCCAACCCACAGCTCTTTCATATTCTTATTAACTTCCAATATGACAACCTAAGCATGGAACTGTTGCTGTACGAAGGCCTTGTGCCCATGTTGGTGCGGGAACTGAACGATTACCTGACCAGCGACGATGAACACCACAAGCGTCGCCGAGAGGAGAGGTTGCAAGGCGGCAAGAAACGAAAGCTAACAGACCCCACTACGCCAGAGACGCTAAGCAAGGTACATATTCCACCAAAATAAATAAGGCTCCTATTGTATAAAATATTTTAAATAACTTTCTGTTATAGTTTTCCAAAACCCACGAGACTTTAGGCTCAGACTTTGACTCGCCCAGCAGTTCGCCTCGATCATACCGCACCACAAGTCCCTGTAGCTCCCGCAGCATGTCACCCATCTGCAAGGATCTGCTGAGCAACGACGACGATGACAACTACTCACCTGCCTGCAGTGACGATGACGATGATGATGATGACACCACCAATGGCATAAACAATTTCGATACTAAAGATCGTCGCATAGCCGCCAATCGGGCTCAAGCCTCCAACGTCTTGGATATATTAAAGCTAATCGACGAAGGCAGCGAACCCATCGAAGACACTCTCTCCGACAAGGAAGACTTCGATGAGCTTAGCTCCGACGTGCCGCCTAAATTGGGACAGTTCCGAAACGAGGCTGGTGATACCATTGACATTATAGAGAATCTTATATATCGCATCACGCTGATGGTGAATAAGCGAGTGGAGCTAGGAAAGCCAGAGACGCTAGACACGCTCATTAGAGCTATTAACTTATTTGGAGCCAACAATAATTTTTCCAACGCCCTGACGAATATACTTCTGTAGGTTAATCATGAAATAAGATAGAATCTCACTTTATAGTCCAATTTTATTTTCAGGGAGAGCCAATTTTTTGCCCAGATCATTAAGCACGGCGTGGTTCATCAGCTTTATCAACTTACAAAAGTGGAGGATGTGGGTAAAAAATTAAAACTTATATTCTAATGTACTTATTATCCTGTTTCAGATGCGCAAGGACGGCTTTGCCTTTCTGGAGACACTCACCAACGTCGGTGAGTCGAACTACGGCAAAGAGGAGCTGGTACGACTGCTGCGGTGTGACGATATCAACGCCCAACAGCGGGCAGCCATCTCGGTGGCCCACATCATCAAAAGCCATCGTCTTTTGTACCAATTTCTTTATGACGGCAACGCCCTGACCCTTCTGTTTGATCTGTTGCTGCGCAAAAAGAGTGAGGATCGCTATGCCGACGAAGCTGCGGATGCAGTAACTGCCATGTCTCGCTACACCTTGCGAATCGGATTGCCTGAGATAGAGGTTGAGGAGAGCACCAATGGGATTTGTTCACAACAGCTGAATGATTCAGCGCCCATGCATGAACAATGCGATATGCGATTCTTGGTCGGTGGGGGTGAAAATATCCTCGAAATAGGGTTCAACAAGCAGCTGCTTTGCGACTCCAGTGAGGTGTTCAACAAGATGCTGAACAGCGACTTTCGGGAGGGGCACGATGGCGAGATTCAGTTACACGACTACTCGGCCAGCGGCCTGCGTTACTTTCTGCATTTAATTGGTTGCCACAAACGGCACTTAACCGAGACAAACTACCCCGCTCTGCTGCAGGCCTTCGAAATGTCGCGGGTTTACATAATACCCGAGATGGAGACTGCCTTGCAGGAGCGCCTTATTCAGTTCCTGGACGCCCAGAACTGTTTGCGTCTACTGGAGTGGTCGCTTAAGAATTACCACTCAGAGCTGACAGAGACCGCAATATGCTACTACCTCAGCTCCGCACTGCCAGCCCAGGAGAAGCAGTTACTCTTCCGCACCGCCGAGGACTCCGTCTATGCCAGCGAGTGGTTCCAGTTGCTCAACGACACTGTCTTCGAACGGTGCCGTAGTACTGGCTATTAAAACCCTACCCCTTCTACACCCCAGTTGCGTTCTGTGATCGTCTGCCCTTTTAATTCAATTTCTTTTTGTTGAGCGTGGTGTCCATTGCCTGGACTGGTTAGGATTTATTTGCCACAACTCTATCGCGAAGTATTCCAATGTGCTACAATGTAAATGTTAATAAAATAGACTACGTAATTACCTAAGAGGATTGCATTTTGGCGGACTCGAATGTGGGCATGGCGCAGAAACGAACTGTAAGCCAGTCCACGAGGGGCGTGGGACAAATCCCAAAGAGCCATCGGTACAGGCGATATCGCCACGGTTCCTCTATGTAAAGGCTTAGGGGCTGGGAGTTGGTAAGGGCATCCTTGAATTTGGCCAGCAAAGATTCGTTTTTCAGTTGGTTGGGGGCCTTGAAGCCGGAGAGGATTTTCAGGTAAGCATTGAAGGCCTTGAAGTAGGAATCGTACAGAGCATGTTGCTCCTCGCTGAAGGCCTGGCTCATTTTCTCGGCATGCTGCTGCTGGCGAGCTGCAATGTTGCTATCAAGGACAAAGGAACCGGGCACAAAGTTGACTACTTCCACGCCGTACTGCTGGAGTTCCACGCGGAGGGAGTCAGTCCAAAATCGCAGACCGGCCTTAGAGGCGGCATAGGGCCCCATGGCAGGAAGAGCCTGCAGCCCACAGTGGCTGGTCACGTTGATGATTCTGCCCTGTTGCTGGCGCAGAAGGGGCAGCAGTTCCCGGGTCAGTCGCATGGTGCCCAGTAGGTTGCAATTGATCTGCATCTCGATTTGTTCCGGTAACTGCCACTCGAACTCGCCAAAGCACATCACACCCGCATTGTTCACCAGGGCCTTTAGCCGATAGTCCGGATTCATCGAGAGTATGTCCTTGAGTTGCTGGTGAACCAGGTCTATGGAATCGGTCTTCAATAGATCCAATTCCAGTGTGTGCATTCTGGACTCTGCCTCCCCGGCGGGCCTCCGCTGCTGCAGCAGCTGGGCTCCTTCCGACTTGAGATTGTGGCAACAGGAAACCACAGTCATGTGCAGGGAATCGTGGCAGTACACGGCCAGGGAGTGGCTATCCAGAGGCAGTGATAAGAGCCAGTTAGTACTTTGAACTGCGATCAGGTTCAGTTACCTTACCCGAGGCCCGAGTCGCAGCCCGTAATGAGCACCACATGCCGGCTATCGACCTTCAACTGCTTTCGACCCAGTCCCAGGGTTCGTCGCAGGGCACTTAGGAAATGACTACCGCTCATATCGCCGGTTCTCGGATAACTGAAAATGAAACAAAGAGTCGGATTCTCGGTGCACCGAAGCCGCCAGATCCCAAATAATGCGAAATAAGGCAAACCCAAAAATGAATATATGTATGGATGTTCATACGATGGGAATGTATGTAACCATTATCTGTGTCTCAATGGAGGAGTATTGCAGTGGTTACCTGCTCTTTAGGCTGGTCCTTAGTTAACTCAAATCTTTAATAAATTCAAATATATTACAATTCAAAAATCATAAATAATCATTACCGGTTCAAGATATTTTTGAAGGTTTTTAGGTTAAAGTTTTCGATTAATTGTTTTCGTTAACTTCTTTATATAAAATGAAGGAATATTTTCAAAAAATCTTTGAATGAAATTCTTTTAAATTTATATTAGAATTTCTTTGTATAAAAAAACTCGCCCAGTGTCTATTTTTTACCTGCTCAGCTTACCTGACGATAAGCCACCAATATTTGCAAGTCATGAAAATTCAGCTCTTCTCCTCCCCCTTTGTTTTGATTTTTAAAACAAAAAACATATAAACACTTTATTTTTAGGTTTTTCGGTATTTTTATTTTATTTTATTTCATTCCTTGTCAATTTTGGTGTTGTCTGTCCTTATAAGTGCATTTAATTTGTGGCCACTAGACTCAGTGGACCTGGCTTCAATTGGATAGATCTTTTAACAGTTTCGAAATATATTTAGAATTCACTATGGAAACTTGCGAGAGTTGATTTGACCTGATTTTGAATAATCATATTTTAGATAATACATAGTTATATTAAATAATTGCTTTGCTTTTGTCATTTCTTATAAATGGTATTTGAAAATAGCGCACTCGTTGCGTTTAGTAAAAATATATTTGGGGTTTCCTACTGCAGCTTACAGAATACAATAAGTATATTATATCATTTTCACATTTGCTTTTGCTTTGCTTTTTTCTCAATATAAAACCTTGCTCAACGCGATTATTGTTTAGCTTTAAACATACATATATATATATATTTATATAAAGTGGTTGCATTTCTTAATTCTCTCTCAAGGCATTGTATTTAGTTTGTAGTTTGAATCTATATATATTTTAATATATATACCTTCTTTACGCATTCCGTTTAAATGTACAATTTTAAAACCGACTTAGTTCTTTTCATTACACGCTTTGTTTACTGCTCCTGTTTTGCTTTCTACTTTCGTTTAAATGGTTATCCTTTTGTATTCGTTTTTTTGTTTTTTTGTTTTTATAATAAATATCACAACGCATCCTTCAAATCTACACATCATATTACCCTTATCATTCACACCACACCACACCCCGCCCGGCATCCGGGCGCTGGCGCTCGAATCCTGGGGGGTGCCTGGCATTAATTATGCATCGTCGCTTCGATCGTCGCATTTATATTTTTTGAAAAAATATACAACACGCAAATGAAAAGGTTTGAAAATTGCACAAATTACAAGTACATAACATATGTAGCTCGGCGTATGTAAAAAGACATAGCAAAATCATAAATTAACCATAATAATCATAATAATACAAAAACATTAAAGTTAACGAAAACAAAATATTCGTTACGGTTTAAAATTACAAAATGAAAACATCTCCTACAACTAGAAAAATGTTTTGTTGGTTTTCTTTCGCTTTGTTAGCAAGTATAAATATAATCGCTACTCTCAATTATATAAAACTTAACTTAATCCTGACTCGACTCCTCTCCGGACTTCACCCGGCCCGGTCCCAGCATCTGTCCCGGCCCCTGTCCGGTTATAAGCTGACCAGCTTCGACGGCTCGGCGGTGGGCGTGGGCAGCTCCAGGGGATGCTTGTTCTGCGACGGCACCAGCGGCCCCGAAACCGGCGTCAGTCCGGTGCCACCGTCCATCAGGGAATCAAAGTTGAAGCCCGTGGTTGGCGTCTGGATGGGCACGCCCTGGATGTGCGTCGGTCCCGATCCGGGCATCTTGTTGTGGTTGCTGGTCAGGTTCAGGTGCATCTGTGGGACGAAGGGTCGTTGCACGGGCAGCGTGGTGGGCCGCTCCTTGGGCTTGTTCAGTTCGTTCAGCGTGGGACTGTTCATGCTGCCCTTCGGGGTGGTGATGGGATAGGCGCTACCAAAGCCCACGGGCGCCGTGCTTACAATGGGCGTTTGCAGTGATCCGGACGAGACGCCTGTGGGCGTCATCAGCGTGGACATGGGCGGCAAGGCGAATCGCTTACTGGGCGGAGGGCCGTCCTGATCCAAAAGGCAACTCGAGTCCAGGCCACCGTCCAGCGGCTCGTCCTTAATCTGGGGCTTGAGATCCAGCGGCGAGTTACTCCGACCGGTGGAGTTCAGAGTGGCGTCCAATCCCGTAATGGTGCCGTTGCTGCTGTCGTTGCTGTTGTTGTTATGATGGCTGCTTGCGCCGCTGTCGCAGCTGCCGGCACTTGGGAGGCCGACCGGAGCAATCAAGCCGTTGCAGGTGGTCACGCTCAGCAGATCGGTGCGGATCTTTTGGCAGGAGGAATGGTGGGCGCGCAGGAAAAACTCCAGCTGGTTCTTGACCTCCGTCAGCGACTCCACTTCCTTCTTCAGGCCCTCGCCCTTCTTCTCCAGCTGCTCTACCTCGTAGGTGAGCTCATTGGTCTGGTCGACGCGCCGCTTGCGGCATCGGGCCGCCGCCTGCTTGTTCCGCTCCCGGCGTATTGCACGCTTCTGCTCCTCCTCGGGCGTCATATTGGCGTTCCGGTTGGGACGTCTGCCGCCTCCGCGACGCGCGGGCGTGGCACTGTTTGAGGTATTCGTGTTGCTCGCCTGGGAGGATCCCCTTCCGGCAATCCCCGCCAAAACGTTGGTAAAGTTGTTGGCACCGCCACCGTTGACGCTGCTGCCCACCATGCCATTTTGGTACGAGGTGCTGTCCGTATGGGCACTTGCTGCAGAACATAGAGATTGCATTAGTAAGATATACAGGATGCTATACAAGTTTCTATATCTTACAAGTATCTGTTGTGTCCTGATCCTCATTGTTCTGCCCATCAGCCCAGGAGCCGTTGGAGTTGTCGGAATCGGTTCCCTGCAGCCCGCTGTTCACTTCAAAGGGAATCTGGCTGATCATGGGATTGACCACGCCCACCAAGGTGGCCGTAGCTGTGGTGGTCGGGGCGTTGACCACTCCGTTGCCAGTGTTGCCGCCGGGCATGAGGCCCAGTGGGGGTGGCTTGAAGGTGGCCTGGTATGGAGTGCTCACTGGGTCGTTGGTCAGCTCGAAGAAGGCTTCCTGCAGGCTGCGCGTTGTTGTGGGCGTCAGCGTGGGCGTGGTCAGCGTTGGAGCCAACTGAATGCCATCGAAGGTGCCGAGCTGTAATCAAACGAATAAGTTCTCATTAGTTTTTGTTTGCTTTGTTTAAAATAATTAAATATAATTTTTATAAATCATACGCACTGTTGGCATATTTTTTGGAAAACTTATTTTCAACTATAGTGGTTTATAGGATTTATATATAACCATGTGAGAGACAAATGTTTAGTTTATTTCTTGGCATAAAGAGAGAAAACAAGAGAGAGCCACCAACCAATCCATCACTTTGTTTATAAAGCCACCCATCGCCCCACAGCACCCTCCCTTTTCGTGTTTTTATGTTTTTTTGATCTATTTCCGTCGATGAATAAGTACACGCACCCGCTTGCCAATTGTTTCCCGCCCAATTTCCCCACAAAAATTTCGATAATCATAATCAAACAATTATCGATATTAGCCTGCGATGAGGTACCTGCTGCATAAAAAGCTCGCTGGCTAGAAAACTGGCAATTTCACTTGCGTCCATTGCAAAGTGATCGTTGTTTTCTGTTTTAGTTGCTCCTGTATCAGTGCATGTTGCTGTTGTCGTGGCAACTGTCTCTTGTGGTTGCTGCTGTTGCTGTTGTTGTTGATAATAATTATTAGGCGAGCAATTATTATTATTATACTCCTGCTGATGTTGGCTAAAAAAGTTCTGCATTTGGCACATGGCGGCCATGGCAGCAGCATTGTTGCCATTGCTGTTGGTGGTGTTGCTGCTGGTGTTGCTGTTGTTAGCGTAGGTAGCAATATTGCCATAAGCATTGCCGTTGTTGTTGCCGTGGCTGTTGCTGTTGCGCATTGTAAAGCAGTTGTTGGCGGCATTGTTGTTGCCAAATGATTGCCTCAACTGCTGTTGTTGTTCCTGCTGCTGTTGCTGGTGATGTTGCTGCTGCTGCTGATGCTGGTAGGCAGGCTGCGTGGGCAGTTGCCGTTGCTGACGTAACATTTGCTGCTCCGGCTGCTGATGCAGCTGCTGCTGTTGCTGCTGCTGTAGTTGCTGCTGCTGTAGCTGCAGATGCTGCTGTTGCAGTTGCAGTTGTTGCTGCTGGGCAAAGTGCAACGATTGATGGTAGTATGGACGGTAGCACGCATTATGCGCTCTACCATTGAGATTTTTCATCATTTGTTTCGTTTTTCTCCGTAGGCTCCCCTAATTCCTAAAATCTATTCTTATATATTAAGTATACGCACTGGTGTTGCGTATACGCACAGTTGGGCGGCTGACTAGTAAACGTTATGCGGACTGCTTAGTCTAACGGTAGTCTTATACAACAAATTGGACAACAATGATATACTATGATATAAAATCAACAAAAACAAAGTTAGCTCTAGTGCCTAAATGAAAATCTTTTAAAATTGTATGTACAAAAGTCACTTTTTCTCCACTTGGAGTGGCAAAGTGTTTCCTAACAATGTGATGATCCTTTCTTGTCTTTATGGTTCTTGTTTTTGTAGTTGTTGTTGTTGTTGTCGCAGTTTATTTGTTGTTGTTGTTGTTTTTACAAAAATTCGTTCGTTTTTGGTTGTGGTTTCTGTATATATTTAATATATGTATTTCGTTATTCTGCGTTGGCTTTAAATAAGGTTCGATTTTAGCTGCGAGCAGAGTTCGTTGTGACGTATAATATATAGTATGTTCGTTGTTCGATTTCTTAGTTCTTGATGTTTTTCTCATCGGTGCTGCTGCTGGGCTGTTCCGGCGGTCTTAAGCGCTTTACGATAAGCTTTCGTTGATTTCGCAAAGGATTGAAATCTGTATTCCGCACGGCCAGAGCGCTCATAATCGACTCAATTTATTTTGAGGCTTTAGTTCTAATGGCACGTGCTCAGTTCACTGGCCCCGTCTTCTAAGAGGCACAGTAATTCCCATAAAATTATATATTTATTTGATAAAATTCGTATGATGTAATTATGGACCGTCTGAGCTAGAGCCTTGTGCTAGTTTCGAGCCAACATTCAATTAATGCCGCATTAGTTTCTTGGGAAATACACAAATTTGTTTTTTCCTTCGACGGGCAACGCCTCTCAGAGTTATTCCACCCTTTTGGCTTTGGCCAACAATTCGCTTTTATTTCCCAAATATACATATATACAAGTTTTCGCTATATATAATTATATATGTAAGTGGCTATAGGTGGGTATATATTTTGATTCTGGCGGTGCTGCTGCTGCTGCTGCTTTAAAATCCACGCGGCATGCAACCCAAACTGAACTAAGAAAATGTGCGTCGTTTTGTTGGTTGTTCCTTTTTTTCCGCTTGAACTATATGTACGTGTATATAATTTTTTGCTCGATTCGTTGTTGTTTCTGAAATTCGTTTTTGGCAATGCACGCGCGCTAAAAACAAAACGACAATTGCAATTTCTGCTTCTAGCCACAATTTCCAAATATATATGGTATTTATTCGTTTCGTTTCGTTTTTCGAGATTCGCGGTTCGCTGTTCGCAGGTTCGAGATTCGCACAATTCGAGGAAAAGCGCGCGCGCGATCGCTTTTAATTGTTAGATATTTTCTAAACTTCGATGGTTCGTTGTTCGTTTGCGACTGAATCCGGCGAGCGAAATTGGCAACACTCAAGATCGCGATCACGTCGTACATATATCTATTTATCTGGCATCAGAGAACCTCGGAGAGAGAATCTATGGGTGTGTGCCGACCGCCAACGGACAACCGACGACCCGCGAGTTGTTTTCTCAAATTAGAAGACAACCACTAAGAAAATCAAATAATTTTAAATGCTGGCTGTGCTCTTAATTGAGCGGCTGCCCACACGGATCGGCGATGCCCACGCTCGCCATAAAACGTTATAGCAGATACTATATCTGATACCATACTATATAGATGTATGTATGCACGGTAGTCTGCCATACTCCCGTATGCATCTGCTCGCGTGTAGGCCTTTTCCGATTTGCCGATTTTCCGATTTTTACAGCCAGCAGCAGGCTTTCCATTGAAACGCTTTTTATTCGGCCATAAATTAACGTCTACAGCCGCTCAATGTCCGAGAGAATTTCGGCGAAATCATTTGGCACAAGTTATGGCCGGCCGATGTGAGGAATACACAGAATGAATATATATTTATAGCGTAACACCCGTGCCCGTACACCCTGTCACATCTGACAGATGCGATGGCGGAACAGGTGTGTGTGCGTGTAGAAACTAACTGCAGAGACCCCCTGTCTCGGCGAGTTGTTTATTTGTTAATTGATGGCTTAAAATATGGGTAAAAAAAAAAAAACAAAAATTAGGTGGGGATTTGGCGACGACACCGATCCTGATTGTCTTCTCATTTATTTGACGATCTTATCAGCGCTGCGTTTCCCAATCCCAAAGGCCGTTCCCTTATTGACGGCTTTTGTTTGTCCAACGAGGCAAACAATCGATTTTATTCTTTTTGTGAGTTGGTTACTCCTCCTCGTGTTTTATATATTTATTTAAAAAAAATGTACTTTCAAGTCAGCCGCGCTCTACCTTTACTTTCGTTTTAACCTACTTTCCTCACACACAAGAGCAAATTTGTTTTCTGAACTTGTTCCCCCTTGCTGCTTGAACATGAACATGATCCACATTTAGCCGATGAATCAGACAATTGAAACAGAGAACAGAACCCTATACCACATATGCAAAACAAGTGATAATAAATATAGCAATAATATGCGCAAACTACCACCAATCGGGCTGGACAAGCTTTGGAATTGAATTGTCTAAATTGAAGCCAGCTCAGTGGCCTTATCAGACCAGGCAGCAGTGCTCTGGGTTCACATCTGGGGGTCAATTGAGCTGCATGGGACTGGGCGAGCTGGGCTGGGTGTAGTGGGGCTGCTGTAAAAATGAATAAACTGACGTAGTCAGCGGGAATCAGCAGAGTGCTGACTAATACCGCCGGCTCTGGATGCACAAAGTTTATAGATTAAAGTCTGAAAAAACGCAGCCACAATCCACTGATAGTAGCAAAACCGCAAAAGAAACGGATCATTTGAGCCCTAATCAGTGGTTTTAGCTAAGTGTGACTAAAGTGTGCTGTGACTTGTGCCGATTTCTGAGAAACCCAACCATCGCCCTAATCAATTTAAATTCGTCCGCCTATCAAAGATGACCTTGGGGCAAATTAGTTCGTTATTTCATTGGTCGAAATAAGCATTTCTAGAGGGAATATGCAGCGGGCCTGGCGACTAGCTGTTGAGTGGCTAAGAAACCGCACTCGCGGGTCCCAGACTTTGCCTTCTGTTTCAGCTGACGTGTTGGGCTATTTTTATGCCAATTTTAGCCTGACAATGACGCAATAAAAACACAAAATAAAACAAAAACTTGGCATCATCAAAGGTCCAAAAACAAAACGAAAACAGGCGACAGGCTACAGCAATTTGTATTGTTTATATCAAAAGCGGCTAATAAATGCCAAGACCGACTGACAGCCAAGTTAGCATAGGCCTCTTACTCCTCTTCCCCGACTAACCAAGTAACTAACTAAATTTTAAGCTCAATGCTAATGGCACAACTATTTTGCTTTTGTTTTAATGCTTTAGTTGCCTTTGTTGGCTTTGTTGTTTCTGCTGCAATGGCATAAATTAGTTGGCAAGCTTGTTAAATAAAAAATACAAAAATTGCATGCCGAAGGTCGGCTCTTGTTTAGTTAGAAATGCGCATAATTTAAAGAAGAAAAATTAAAGCAAAAATAAATACAATTTTGATTTTTCAATTGGCAGAGAGTCTTGAATAAACTGCAGCTCCAGCATTGTTTGCTCCGAGTGCCAGCAATGTCGCCATGCAACGAAAAGTTTACAAGTTCAAGATCGTTGTCTTCATCAGACTATATACTATATAGTATATTAATATAATGTTTGTATGTATGAACCCTTTTAATTGCAGTGGGCTTCCGAACTTCCCTTGACGATAAGCATAGTATTCGGAATATGTCTTGGTATGATTTGCATTTTAAATGCAAATTCTGCGAATAAAACAATTAACGCAAAGGAGAAGCAGAAATCATATTTTTTTTAGAGATACTTTTTTTTTTCTCTTGCTGTTTTATTTAATTTTATTACTATTTTTGTGTTGTTTTTTTTTGCTGGCAGGCAGGAGAACGTGACCACAATGCCCGAGCGAAATGGCCGGCCCGGCGGAGTGTTGACTGTGCTAAGTGCCGGCTGTGGGCGGGCTGTTGATAAAAAACGAAATTTCCATTACCTCTTCTGCTATCCCTCCGGAGAGCCACCAGCGACCCGGTCTCCATGTCCGACCGACCCCGCGCCGAAAGAATTTTGGAGTGGCCCAGAGTCAACGGCCGAATGGCTGGCTGGCTTGCCGGCCTTTTTAGGCACGCAAAACAAAACCCCCTAATATAACCAACATTTATGCAAAATATACACAACTATATACAAACATTTATGTGATTGTTTGTGGAAAGCAGCGCCGTCATTAAAATCACTTGACGTTTGTCCATTTTTGGAACGCCCACGACAACCGCGCTACACATACAAAATTGAATTAAAGTTTAACTCTTTTTTTTTTTGGTTGTCAGCTGGCAATGGCCATAATTCAAAATTTGCCAAAAAGTGCACAAAATATATATAAAAAGAAAATAAAGAGGGGAGAATGCCAAACGACAGCGATGCAGGCCCAAATAAATTTCAAGTCGGATTCGAATTCGGACAGGATTCCCTGGTGTCGGGCGTCGGGCTTTAAGTTCAGTGTCAAATTAATCAGACTTTTGTTCGGAGGGCGTGTAAAATACAGAAAAAAAAAGAAACAGAAAAAAGAACAAGGCTGACAAATTTGCATGAGATATTTAAAAAAGAAAGAGTGAAAATATTTATGTTCTGCCTTTTAAGCAGTGCATTGAACCCACTCGCCTAATGACTCTACCTCGATCGACTCGGACTCGGACTCGGGAGGGAATTTATTTGCCTGGGTTGGGTTGGGGTCAGAGAACAAAAGTACCCATATAGAGTGGGGTTCCACTAATCGATAGCCATAATTGCATTTGGCAAAAGGTTCATACTTTTGATTGATAAAGCCCCGTGACTGCACTTTGGTCATTAAGTCATAATTAAGCACTTTCGGTGGTCACTCGAATACTGAAACTCGAACGCGAATACGCTAACGTGCAGCTAATAAAATGACGCGACATTGGTCTGGGAATAATTTATTTAAATGCATTTTGTCGCGACAACAAAAAGAACAGCAAGACCCGCCGCTCCTGACGGGGGAGGACGACCCAACGAATTTATGGCAAAGTTTGCAGTTCGAGGAAATGGCAAACAAACGACGCGTCTCCCAGGCGCCAGAAAGGACACAAAAAAATGGGAAAAATAAAAAGAAACAGAAAGGATGGCAAATGCAATGCACAAAGCTAGACAGACAGAGGAATCGGGGCAGGGGCCAGGATATGCGGACAGGCGGAGACAGTAGTAAAAGTTGTTTTCACTTTTCATTTGTGGGGCTTGGCCAATTCCGAGAAGGACATGACCGCAGCCATCAAGCGCCAGGACTGTTGCCAACACGAAATTACAGCTGGCGGCTGGCAGCCAACAAGAAATAAAAGGACAGGGAAAAGCCCCTAGTCCTTAGCAATGAAGGACTTCAATTACAGGGCAAGTGCTGGGCTCAATCGCCTCTCCTGTCAAATTATCTGCACCAAACTTTCCTGGCAGCTCGGCACAAAGCTCTCCATTCGCCACATCTTGCCCAATTCCGATTGCATTTCATTCATTAAGATGGAACTCAATTAAATTGGCTGGAAATGCAATTAAGTGCACACCCATACCCGCAAATATAAGTGTGTAGACATATTTAATAATAATTTGATCTTAATTGAATTCAATCTTGTTGCATGCTCCGCGGACATGGCATGATCACTGGATCCGAAGACCCAAAGAGCTATGAAGAGCTTTTTAGGCCACTTCTAGGCTGGTGCTGGTGCGCTAGACAAAGAAATTGTTAAAAGGCAGTACTTTTTAGGCCAATTCTAAAGCGTAGATAGGGAATGTCTGTAGGTAGCGCGACGGAAGACAAAGGAAAGTTATTGTTTGGCCCAAAATTCGCCAAATAAACAGTTTCAAGTGATTTCTTTCATTTTGAAAACTTTGTGGCTCAGGGCCAATCGAAAACGCCCACGCCAGAAGCACACCACCAACACTCCTTTCCGCCTCCCAAAAAGTATTTCGAGGCTTACGAAAGTACAGCCACAAAAAATAATGTTAACCCCCTCAAAAAGCAGCCACGGAAAGTAGTACTTCAAGACCAAGACCATATTCAGTATATGTTCGGTTAATTAAAAGAAAGTTGGACTTTGTCTGGGATAATGTGGGGGCGCTGTCCAAACCTATACGTATGGTTTAATGAAACCATTTGAGAGAGCGGGCTAAGCCGCTGCTGCTGCCGCGCAATGTGGCAAGTGTTTGACTTGCAGCATGTCACTTTGAACCGCCGGGCCATATAACGAACGTCGAGTATTAAAACCAAACTCATATCCCCATCACACACATCTGGCACTGAGTATCAAGTGTCACGCAAGTGTATTTGAGGTTCACAAGTCAAAGGGTCAGGCGGCGGACCCTCGTTCACTTTCTATGGCGCTATAAAAACGCCCGAAATTAAGAGCCCCCTCGTATGCAACGGAAAGTGAAGTCCAATCCGACGTCAGTCAATGAGGCAAGGGAAACGGCACAAAAAATAATACCTAAAACGCAATGCAAGAGTTGCGCATAAAACTTGATAAATTGTCACGAAAATCGCACGTGTGCGATATCAGGCGAATGGCGCCGGTTCGGTTCCAATGGAGAAACAGAAACAGACCCAGACGAGTGCCCAGACCCAGACCGGATCACTGGACTGTGAAATGCAATGGGCAAAAAATTCACCAGCAAAAAATATGGCCAAGAAGTTAAGCCAAAAAAACTGGTAACTGTAAGTGGTGGGCATGAAATTGCAACGTGATTCCCAAATGGGGGTGTTTTCTTGTGGCATTAAATATAATGAAATCATACACGCATAATTTAATAAGGAACAGGGGAAAAAAATAATTAAATTAGTCTAAACTAATTTTTGTAATAAAACTGTTATCTTCTGGCCTTCAAAGTAAGGACCCCATAAGCGTTGTAAGCATTTACGATCCATCAAATAAACGTGTTTAGGGCGCAGAATGATAGTGTTTGGGAAATCAGTGATGGATCGGGTCCGAAAACACTTGCCACAGCCAACAAAAATTGGCTTATCAGTTTGCTGGAAAAAAGGCGAATAAAATGTTTAGGTAATGACCGTAAATCGGTCGATCGGGGAATTAGAAATAGACGGCGAATGGGCGGGCGCCGTCGCTTATCGGTGCTGAACAAACACAACCCCATCAGAAATATGGCCTCAACGCGAAATAAATTGTACATACATGGACAGAGAGTACATATGTGCATTGAAAGGCGTAAAAAACTGAAAAGGGGGATCTCCAATTTCCAAGAATTCAATTGGCAGCGATAAGCCAAAGCTGCGAGCCAGGCACTCTCTAATACCAGGCAACAGTACGGCGGCAGAGGCAGTATGGAATTCTAGAAATTTCATGGCAAACACTCCCTCTTTCCCTCCCACTGATAACACTCGGATCTAAGTATGCCAATGGGCGGGGCTCTGAAAAACAGCAGTAGCTCTTACCACTTTGGGCAGCGGCGATAGCGGCATACCAAACAAGTACTCGTCGTTGAAGATGTTGTAATTGTCCAGCGTCATGTTATCAAATATCTGTATTGCTTCCGTTTTGATTATTTTTGCTTTTTACTTAGAATGCGATTTAATATTAGTTTTTGTTGTGCTCGATTGCGACACAGTGTCTATTCGAAGAGGCACAATGACTCAAAGCGATTTCTGGCGAAATTCGCCTTTAATTTTTGCCTGAATTGCTTTTCAGCGCCTGCCGCCTTTGTATTTCGACTCACTAACACACACTCGGGGCACGGCACGGTAAGGCACGGCAAAAAGTATCTCACAAATGTATCTGTATCTGTAGCTGGCGCGCGATCGTGCGAATTATTTGTGCTGTCTGTTTTCAATATTTCCTAGAATTTTCGCTTATATTCTGTTTTTGTTTGGACTTCAGGCACCGCACATACTGCCTCTTTTCGCACAAAACTTTTCTGTTGACTTTTCGCGTAATTTTCACAAACTTATGGCTCTGCCGAACGTGGAACTCGGTCTGTGGCCGAAGCGTTTGGCACGGCGGACTTGTTTTGAGTAAATGCGTCATCGTCGATGGCTCGCCTTTTATACAACCAGCCCCAGACGTTGGCGATTGAGTGCTTTTTTTTATCGCCAGTGCGCATAAAATCGGAGAGAAATCGACGCAGAGCGCTACGCTGAGTGAATTCAGAACCGGGGGCTCTGGCATTTCCTGAGCGAACCGAGAGGAGCTGCTCTGCCTGGCATGAGCCATTTTCATTTAGGCCTTAAAAAACAAATACACATATAATATATTGTGGGTTTAACCCACTGGCAGCTCTGCTGCTATCTGCTCTCTATTATTTCGATACAATTTGGTTTTCTATTCGGCGGGTCGACTGGTCTCACGTGCCCCGCCAGTTTAGCTTTTCTTTGACTACGCTTTTTTCTGTTTACTCGATTCTTGGACCGATTGCCGTTTATCTTATCGGCCGGCCGACGCCAGACAATTTAGTTATGACATAAGCAACTAAATTTAAAGGCCCCACAGGTAAACCCCACCGAGAATGCAGCGCCATGAATGGCTCGCCTTTGTGGTGGGTGGCTGCTTTGGCTTAGAGCTCGGAGCTCTGAGCTCTTATCAGGCATTTTGGTAAATACTTTTCCTAAATGGGTCGCCCGGCGATCGGATGTCGCCGCTGGAGGCTCAGGTGGCTTTCGGCCCAGCCCTGGCAGGTGTCCGCTCCGCCTGTTTATTGTTATTTCTAGCCATTTATCTATGATATGCCAGCCAGCTTTTCAATAAATATTGATGGGGCCCCGTTGCCGGCTGCCGATTGGCGATTGGCGATGTCGATGCCATGTAATTGTATGCGCATCGAAAACAGCTAGCACTACAATAACAAAACTAAACACAAAAAAAAACTACAAAAAAGGCCACGCTGACCTTGCGCCGCCACTTACATGAGAGCCTCCACCCCATTTTGGGGTGGCAGGTGGCTAGCTTGGGGGGTAGGGGTACCGGAAAGTGCACCCAAAAGTGGGTCATGTGACACTGGACATTTGTGGCAGTGGCTCTGCTCTACTTACCTGCAACGAGAAAACAAAGTGCACAGTCAATTAGGATTCCAGCCAATAAGAGCGAGATCAATCTGGCTAATCAAGGGCCACGGAGAAGCTTCGGCTGAGAGGCTGTGACCCAAATCTATACATAATCTTACATTATTATTCCAAGCTTCTTAGCCTGAAATCTATAAATATACGATGTCTCTTCATGCTTAGGCGGAGAAACTTTAAAACTATCTGGCTTGACGTCATTGGTGATAAGGGTTTTGACGTAGTCGCCCCTATCATTGCGAATAATACCAATAGATATCGCTTCATAGTATTCTTTTTATAGAAGTAAGAATAATTTTTAGAGGCTTACAGTGCAATATTGGAAGGAAGGGTAGCAGGAAGTACAGGCCTAAGGTTCTTCTCATTAATTTTGTCATAATACTCGCACATTATGAATAACGAGCAATTCTGTCGAATACGCTGGCCATATTGATAAGCTACCCGGTTTACATCAGTGTTTTAAAATAAAATTATCTTTCCGTATTGTTTTCCTTCGGGAGATAAGAGTCCGCACAATATAAGGTTTCTCCGATAAGACTTGCAGTTCCGTAGCCGTAGCGTGATCAAAACTTCCGGTGATGATGGGGGTCTGGGTCTGGGTCCGATTCGTATTCCGAGTCCCGGACCCAGTCCACTCTGTCGTAGGCCACATCAAGATAAGATTGGACAATGGAAAACAAAGAAATCAAGCCTATGACAAATACCTAGCTACGCATGCCTATGAGCCTTTATAGAAACAAAAGTATATCTTAAGATTAAAAAAAATTGTTTATGATGTAAACAGAAACCAAAGATTGCAATAATCACCTCGATTACTAATTGCTTACATTTTTCTTCCAAAAAGATTATATTTCTGCAGGTGATACATCCGAAAGGGATTTCTAGAGATCGTATGCTATGAAATGATAGTCATTTTATAAATGTACTTTAAAGAAAGAATAATAAAATATTTTCTAAAAGTTTCCCGACAAAATCTTTTGAAAATTTCTAGTGTTTTCGTGTTTAAATGTTGGAGGAATGAAACCAACCATGTTTTGCATTTGGCCAGGTTTTATTTCTCGCTATGCCCGCCAAGTCAGCAATCCGTTGGAGAACTTGAACCATTACTTCCACAAGAACTATAAGCGTTCCTTCGGATTGTCGGATAGTCCCGCGGGAAACTCGGATCAGACGTTCCAGTCCCCCCAAACAGCCCAGGAGCCGTACCTCGTCACCGTAGTGCAGGGCAGATCGAAGAAGCCCAGTTCCCTGCGGGAAAGAGCGAACCGAAGATTCGGGGAGGACAGCTGGTTTGTGAGCTCCACGCCCCGGGCAGAGGTGCTGGGCGTGGCCGATGGCGTGGGCGGGTGGCGGGACATGGGCGTCGACGCGGGACGCTTCGCCAAGGAGCTGATGGGCTGCTGCTGTGGGCACGCCGAGCAGGTGGACTTTGACGCGCGCAATCCACGAGCTCTACTAGTCTCTAGCTACCAGGATTTGAAGGACCGCGAAGATCCTGTGGTTGGCAGTAGCACCGCCTGCGTGGTGGCTATGCACCGAAAGGACCTGACCTTGTACACGGCCAACTTGGGCGATAGTGGCTTCTTGGTGCTTAGAAACGGGCGGGTATTGCATCGCTCCCAGGAGCAGACGCATGATTTCAATACACCCTTTCAGGTAGGATATTGTTAGGATAACCAATCCCAAAAGTAAAAACTTCTCCCCCAGTTAACTGTGGCTCCGAGTCACAAGCGGGACTCTTTCCACTGCGATCGACCGGAAATGGCAGCCGTCTCGCGACACTCCCTGGCTCCGGGCGACCTGGTGCTCCTGGCCACCGACGGGCTCTTCGACAACATGCCAGAGAGTATGCTTCTGGAGATGCTTAGAAAGTTTCATGGTGTGCGGGACGAGCGGGAGCTGCAGGAAGGCGCCACCCAGGTGGTGGAGAGGGCTCGGGAACTGTCCATGAACGCCAGTTTCCAATCCCCGTTCGCCCTCAAGGCGAGGGCCAATAATATATTCTATTCTGGTGGCGGCAAGCCAGATGATATTACCCTGATATTGGCCAGTGTTGAGGTGCCGAAAGTTCAACGTTAAACAATTAAATCTCGGGTGTTGCCGGTAAATATTTTTGTATGTCTATCTGGGATGTCAAGCGATAAAAACGCCTAATATATGTATTAAATATCTGGTTCTGAAGTACTTGTGCTTGAAAACAAATTAAAAAACATTGTACTTGGGTTTGGAAAGGATTACATAAAAATTAATCATACGCAGTGTTGCCCACAAAAGCTTATTTCATAAATATTTATGTCAAGTTTATTAGTCCTTTAAAAATCATAACAAACTAATCTAGATTAGTTATTTATCTCCGAAGCTATTTTAAAAATAGTAAATATTACTCATACGCCGTGTGATCCCACCAGAGGAGGTTCATAAACAGTTGTCCAAATATTATGGCTTTCAAAACTAAACTTTAATATTATTTTAGTTTATGGCCTGGTGGCGGAAATCCCCATTGTTTCATTCTGGATCTGTGTTGGCAAACCCACCTGAGAAATTACGTATTCCTACTATTATCTCGACCGCAGCTGTACCTACTATATATTTTTGTTTATAAAGATCTTGATTCGTATGTAGCTATATAGCTGTTCGTTCATTCAGCAAACTCGATTATGAATGAATGGGCCAGCTACAACCGATTTCACACACAACAGGATGACTCATACGCGTTTTAACCAGAATTCGTGCGTTTTTTTTCGTTTTGCCCGAACTGGTGTGGGAGAGAGGGGACGTGCCATGGCCTAGGGCTCCACACTTGGCACCCACTTACAGCCACTAAAAGCGTAGTCAACAAAAACTCGTTTGGCGCCGCTCAGCACTCAAACCATTTGCACTCAGCCGTCAGTCGAGTGAATGAGCGAGTGTACTCGGCCGAGAGAGAGAGCTCTGAGAACTAGTGCACTCAGTATTAAGAGTGGAAGGCTGGCAAAATCAGGCGATGGCGTTGGAAATCCCCAATGCAGCATTGCGAAATTCCCCCAAGCATAAAAGTCTTCGATAAAAACGGAAAGGATATATATGCCGATAGGGGGATACTCTTAAAAAATGGTATATCCTATTATTACAGTATTTTTGTTCGAAATAGCGAATTAACAACTACTTACATTAGTAATTACTTAAAACCGCAGGACTTTCTATAAATGATTTAATAACAATGATTAATACATAAAAATTATTCATAATATTTATTCTATCTGTAAACCCAAATACCCTAACCCCATGCATTTAAAAAAAGAAATTGACACAATCTTGGGTGTGCTGGGGGTTCTTGATAAATTTTCTTCTTTCCTTTGGCTTTATCATTCCCCGTTTCGCACTTTTCAACGCCGTGGCGAATCGTTGCAGATGCAGCCGGGACTTCGCACTCGGCCTGCCCCTGCCCCCCACCTCGCCACTGGTTGTGGAATGTTGCGGCTGCGATGCTGCACCTCTTCTCGGAATTCCTCATCGGATGACGCGTCACAGCCCAAAGTAATCCCGACCAGGATCGCCTGGCGTGTAAATCTTTCAGTGGCGAGTGCATTTTTAGCCACGCTTCAACCGGCTCCAGATGTGCTCCAGTTCCCAACCACATCCTCGGGGCCTTTCCACACCCGTTTCCCAATCCCATTTACTGGCATGTGCCATTTCCGACGGCACTATGCCTGAAATTAGTTGTATTGTCGATATATAACTCAATTAGGGGAAGAAGAACAGGGCTAACTTGGCAGTTAGCACTAGCTCTGATGACGCCTCCCCGCCATTCGTTCTGACGGGTTCAGGTTCAACAAACCCAGCTAAACAAAGTGTTTGCCATGTCGAGACAGGGATGTAGTTATGGAATATTAAAAGGGGTTTCCATTTCTTACATAAAATTATAATAATATTAGCAGAATAAATACTCATTTTTTTAAATCTTACTAGACTATTATTTTTAGTTAACTTTCCAGTATTTTTAACTTATCACCTACGTTTTCAATCTAAATTGCGAAATGAAAAGCATGACTGTAGCTTTGTGGTCTGTGTTTTTATACACAAAAGATAACCCCTATCGGTGCATTATCTATCTGGGCATTGAATTAGGTTTATCCCCCAATCCCCCCTATAAACAGCGCTCGTGATAAGCACTGGTTCCCCTCTTTAGACCGCCCATGCCACCCCAATAAGTGCCCTGTTTCCAAGAAAATCGAAAGCGAGTGCGAAAACACGCAACTTTTGACATTTTCCTTTCGTTTTGTTTCCATAGACGACACTTGGTGGCTAGTTTGTTGAAAATACTTGATGACATAATTTGTTGTGACGAGCGGGGGAAATTAACATTGAAACTAAAAAGCGATCGCCTTTCTCCCTCTCTGTGACGTCATGCTGCCGCTCGGCAGCCGCAGCGTGTTACCAAATTTGGCTCTCAACTGAAACGAAACTTCGAGGCGAGTTCGAAACCGGTCTAAGCTAACGTTTTTATTTCACGTCTGTGGCCTTAGCTTAAGCTAAGTTTAAGCCATTGACGTCATAAGATAATTTCATTAGCGTAGCGCCAAAATGCACAAGCTAAACGGACATGTCCCAGCAATGGCTTTAATACAGAGACTAGATTGTAGAACTCTTTTTGTTTCGGTGCTTTCCCCTAATTGATAAAGTCAATCTCTAGCTAGTAACCATCAAACAGAGAACATCCGAAGCGTAGTCCAGATAAAGCTAATGCCATAACTCGAGAGTCTAGATAAAAACCTCATGACAAAAATGCAAATTCATCCGGAAAAAAATCCCATTCTTTGGGTTAATAAAGTCCACAAAAATTGCTATAATAGTGATTGGCCAAAAGTGGGTACAAATTCAAAAAGGGCAATTAAACAAATACTAGTTAGCTGGAATAAATAAACATTGGCTTGTCCAATTTCTTCGTAAGATCATATATTTGCACGTATTTGCTTTTATTTTTATTGCATTTATCAGTTTTTCAATGAAAAGTAATACAAATTTTTATTCCTGGAACCCCCGATATAAGCCCTAACAAAGAAGAGTCTGTCTGTAACTCTTGTGGACATAGAAACAAGTGCGTCAAAGGCAGTTACAACTGTAAAGTGTCTTATCTCTGGCGTGCTATCTGGCAGTACGTGTATCTATCGCTCGGCCTTCGCCCATAAGTCGAGCACCGCATTCGGAATCGAATTTACAAAATCCCATGAAAATTTCCTGGAACAATCGAAAGGCATTATAAAATAATAAAATAAACGTGCGGGGGACAGGCTGGCAGCGAACGACGCGTCGTTAAAGTTTTTTGCACACCCCAGTGCTTAAGGCCCGGTCCATAAAAAGCGCTCATAGCTGTGAATAATATAGGCGAAGAAGTCAAAGTCGAAAGAATCGAAATGGAGAGTCGAAATTACAACAACACAAGAACAATAATAATTAATCGTTTGTGGTGTGCATTTATTTATTTATTTTGTTGGAACGAGTAGAGAGGGCCATTGCCAGTTTTTATATTTATTTATTTTTAGTTTGATGCGCACATTAAATTGGCAATTTCTGGCGGATATCTGATCATGATTATAAAGCGCTAAAAAATAAATATACAAACGTGTGTCTGACTTTACAAGCAAGGTCAGCAAAATAGCATATTTTAAACAATAACATAATTTATGCAAGAACTTTATGCTTTTTGACAACTAATTAAAGGGAGATATTAATTGTCCCATCAAAGACTTTAATTAGTAATAACCCCTATTTAGTTAGCCACCATTGTATAAACACACTTAAAAATGTGTAAAAAGGTTATCTCCGAGGAGAGTTCGCCGCTCGATTGCTCGTTAGCCGATTTGCTCGTGACTTTTAATGCGTTTGCTTTTAATGCATGGAATATTTATGTAGCACGCTGCATGTTTTATGCAGCACAATGCGAAAAAGGCAATCTGAGTTGTTCAAGTGCACAGCACCGTATATAGCCAGCAGGCACTCGCCATCCTCCCCTGGTATTTGCCACCCCATCTGAAATTTTTTCTCCACTTGCCAGTTGCAACGCGTGAGTTGCTTGACATTCTAAGTGGAATACCAACGCCAGATCGGGGCTGTCATGGGGTGTCAGGGGGTGGCGCGAGAGCATCCGAGTGCCATTTGACCTTGGCATTGGATTTAATTTTATGGTGAAATCAACTGCAGCATAATTTCGAGTGTCAGGCCAGAGAATTCCAAAATAAAAAGGGAAATATAAGAAAGGTTAGTTGTGATCCTTAGTTATTCTTAAAAATTCTACAAAAAATACTTTCATTTTTCCTAAAAATGATACTGGTCTGAAACTGCAGTCAAACCCAATTAGATACTTGCCCCCTGCGGGCAATCGGAAGCCTTGACCTCTGAGCAGCAGCCCTCTTGCTGGCCAGCTGGCATATTGGCCATATTGCCGCAATGTGAAATTAGTGCTGGCATCGGGCACGTCGCACGTGTTGCAAAACGAGAAGTAAGCAAAGAGAACAATAATTTTAGGCTAGGCACCCGAAAACCGCACCTACGCCAAAAAGATACTGCATACCGCAAAGATACAAAGATACAATATCTGGCCGAAATAAACGAATTGGGCAATAGAAACAAATGCAAGGGGGGCAGCAGCAGGCAACCTTGGCTGCGGCTACGAATTTGAGTGCAATCGGCAAATGCACAAAAACCCACTCGTTCTCTCTTTGGGAGAGAGAGCGGGTGCAAATATCGCATGCGATAAAAGTCTACCATCGGTGAACGTGAGCAGGTTCACGTACCGAGTATCTGTGTGAGCAAAACTCTCGCTGGCAGAGCGAGTGTGTGCGAGTGTCGGTGAGAGCGCTGTCGGTCGGGAGAGTGACAGCGCGAAACAACAACAAAGTGTAAATTGAAATTCCAAAGATGTCGACAAAGTAAATACGAAATAAAAACCCAAAACGAGACAACCGCCCAACAATAACAATAACAATAACAATGGAAAGCTACAACAAAATGCGCACAACACAATTCGGCGAATAATCATAATAAAAAAAGGCAAAAAAAAAGCAGACGAATATACATAAACAACAACAAAAGTTCAATATATTTTTTAAACAAGTTTCCAGAGCGCTGTGTGCCGTTTTTCTGCGGGTGAGGCAAAGTCTGATTTTAGCTCCAAGTGAGAAATGTTGGCCAGATCCGACTTAGATCCGCCAGGGAGAGGGGGAGTACCACTATTGCGTTCTATGCAGTGCCAGTCAGTACCACCCCCAGCACCTACCCGGCCGTATCTTCACTTCGCTTATAATCCCATCATAAACCCATATACAGTATCAGGGATCGAAGCATTCAATACCCTTTCTTGTCGAGATACATGGTATCTTTGAGATACACACATGGTTCTTATTGTATCTTTTGCCTAAAATGGCAATACTTGAGCCAAGATCTTCCATAATGATGGTATACCTATACCCCAGTAAGAGCTACAAGATAGTATTTCTAATTTAAGACACTTTAATCGATCACGTAGCTCATGATAATAAGCAGTAATCTTTATAGAATGGACAGCCTATAAGAGAGGTTTCCACATAAAGATACTCCTCTTTAGAGCTATTAGAATCATATATCCATATAACCCTTGGCCTACTAAGCTTAGTTTTAGTTTCAGCTCATTCCTGCCCGAACACATCCCAGCCATATCCCCAAATACCCCACTTCCTGGGTCTTTGTGCAAATAGAGTATCTCACTTACGATAAGATTGCGAACGGCTGCCGTTGTTGGTGTTGCGACTATCTTTGTTGTTGTGGTTAGATCGGTTGTCAGAAAGTCCATTTGTCCCGACAACTGCTCCGCCAACTGCTGGGCTTCCTTCAGCTCGTCCAGCTCCTCTCCGGCGGACTCCGCCTCCGGCTCCTCCTCCTCCTCCTCGGGGTCGCCGGGCCTCGGGATCTTGGAATCTTCCGGTGCGGTTGCCTTTGTTATGGCGGCTTTTTTTGTTGTGCGTTCGACTTTAACTTTCATTGTGGTTTTTGTTATTGTTTTCGCCTCTTAATTGCGAACACAAACAAAAATTTACATGTGCGGGTGGCTTGTCGGCTCTCTCCTCGTGGCACTCTCTTTTCTTTTCTTCTGGGCGCTGGGGTGCTCTTTCTTTTCTTGTTTTTTTTTTTTGTATTTGCCTGCAGTTTGCGTTTTACCAGCTGTCTTTTAACGCTAAAAATGGTAACCGCTCGATGGAGAATTCTCTAGATTAAAGACAGGGGACCACGCCCCGCACCACTCGACACCGCGCACCACTGGTAGACCGCTACCGCTCCACCGTTCGTACCGCTGACGTTTTATCGCCCGTCACCGTTTCGCTTTTTGAACTTCGTACGACTTTGTTGGAATATTTCGTAATATTTTCTCTTTTTTTCGGTTAGGGGGGGAACTTTTCGGTTTGTTTTCCTAAAAATTTTTCTGGTGGCTTTTGAGGCGCCGCTCTTGACGTTCCACACTCACACTCACTCGATTTTCAACCAGATAACGCGAAGTCACAGTTATACTGACAGTTTGTAACTGTTTCTTTTTGTATCTGTATCTTGTTTTTTTGGGAATGTTCTTGGTTTGCACTCGTGAAAGTGTTAAAAAATTAAGTCTAACAACAACAACAATGGGAGGGAACTACAATAATAATAAGGTTTTCGCCTGTTGTTGGTTTGTCGGTCTCGCTTCCTCTAAGGCAGCTCTCTGGGTGTGCGAGCGGGAGAGCACGCTAGAGGGGGTGGGTGGTGGGAGGTTGGACTGATTAACACGAGAGAGAATGAGAAAGAGAGAGAGAGACGGCCGCGTGGCTTTCCGCTGGCGTTCCTGCAGTCGCGTTGCCTTAACAAAAAGCGAAAAATAACTGAATAACTGAAACTGAGCAACTGGCAACTGGCGGCGCGACAGCAACAGACCGCTCGCTTCGCTATCCACCATCGGGTGACGTCTTGGCCATTGCCTCACGCACACAGACGCGGCGGAGCCCACACAGATACTCGCACACAGGCGCACTGCCTGGAAATTCAAGCTGCGTAGATGCCAGGGCTGCAGCACGCCATCGGAACCAGTTTAGGAGCCAGGATTGATTAGATTTAAAAAAAAAATTCTAAGTAAAATAATAATATTAATTAATTATTCCAGCTTATAACAAAAACACCCAGATAATAAAAATAATTGTTACTAAAAATACAAATTTCCAAATCTTTTTTTTTACAAAAAGTAACCGCATTGAATAATTAACACAAAGTATCTCAAATTTATTTCGCATTTCCGTTAGCCTCCCAAAAATTTCACACCTCAAAAATAAAATGTATCTTGACCGCCAAAAAAGAAATTCATAAAATCTCCCAACCGCATGGAAATCCCCAATTGAACGATATTTTTATGCTCCACTTGGTTCTCGCGGCCCTGACGAAAGTCGGTGGAATGGCACAGCACACAATAACTGTCAGAATGATGAAGCAAAAGGAGATAGAGAGCAACACAGTGCCTGAGAGCCACATCGGAATCCGTCTCACAGATACAGATACAAGCTGAATCCCAAAGATTTGTCGCATGCGATTTTTTAGCCCAAATGAGAAAGGCTCAAAGACCGGCTCATGCTCAGCACCGCTCTCACTGGCTCAACCCCAGTCGGGTTCCACTCATTCGGTAATTTGGCGGGCAACTCGTTTGTTGACATTTTCTACTTGAAAGATACGTTTTTGTTTTGATTTCGGTGCCGCGCTGCCTCTCTCGGCGTCGCTCTTTTTGCTGAGGTGGGCTCCCACTCAAAAGGCAGACCATACCAGTTGCCCGGGCACATGTTGGATTTATGTATGCCAAAGTGGCGCAGCACGCATCGGCATTTGCCTGATGACTCATCGGGGTTTTTACACACGGACACGGCCACAGATACACAGATACAAGCATCTAGAGAAACTGGTGTGGGCCTCCCGCATTCAGGCATTTAGATATTCAGACAGGTTCGTTCCATCTGATTCCATCGCCAATTGGCGGTTAACGCAAGTGCCACACGTGGAAAAAATCACAACACTGTTTGATTTAGTTTTTTAATTATTGGGTCAAAATTATGTAAATTTTGTATAAATTATGAAATATTTGTAAGGGCTATGAGTAATTGGTAAGGGGGAAAAGGTAAATTAATGAAGGAGAGAATACAAGTTTGGAATTTCATATTATAATTTGCTTAACTGTATACATAGGTTTTTCTCAGGAAAATAAATTATGTTTTTATATATTAACTAATATAATAAGTAATTACTAAAAGACTCTCTAATAAAATCGAAAATATGCATTTCTGGCATTTCCTATTTTCTCCCTGTGCAGCCATTTGTTGACCAAGGCCGGTTAATGAATGCGAGTATCTATGAGATGCATTTGGACGCGTGCTAAATGCGTCTATTAGCCACAGACCGACCAGTCCGGCCAAGTAATGCACCCCATATACATTAATTCCATTCCCGCTCCCATGCCCATTTCCATTCAGACTGAGGCTCTGAATCCGATTCAGATGCGAGGGCCATTAGGTAGGTCCAGGTAGCCGAAATGTTTTGCTGCCATTAGGCCGTCCTCGGGCCGAGACGCTCCTTTAGGCCGGGCTCAGCACGAGTTCGATAAGAGCAGCAGTGTCTGAGTGCCTTTCGGGATCGCCATCGCCTGGCGACGCCTCGACACTTCCCAATTGCGGACGGACGACCGGAATCAAGGCTGAGCCGAGGGTTGAATGCCTCCGGTGTTGTGGGTTTTGCCTGCGGACTATTTTTGGTGAGGCAATTTGCCAGGCGACTGCACGGGGGCCACACTGATTAGGTTACCATTTCAACTCATATAACATATTATGGGCAACGAATACACGGGAATTATCACTTGCTGCGGAAACGGAAACTGCAACTATTAAAAAGGGGTCTTTGACGGGCAATCGGTTATCAAGTTCCGTGCATATTTCTTACGCATTTCCGTAACTTCATGAAATTCCAGTTAAAGTCAAGTGTTTCTTAGAAAATTACAAAATAGGACAACACTTTTAAGATAAACTTGAGCCTTGTAGTTTTTTTTTGCAATTTATTTTTCGCAGATTCAATTACAGAATAATTATATGTATATTTCACTTCAAGTGTTTACTGGCATATAATTTATTTAAGTCCGCTTAACTTGTATACTCAATTATTTACTTTGCGATACGATCGGCTGAATAATGTTTACATTGATTAAAGTTTCGATCACGTCATGAAGAACGTCATCGTTTCCCCAGCAAGTCATCCAATTCGTTGAAATTTGTGTAGATTTCTTGGTATTAAATGAATAAGCCAAGAAAGTTATAGGACTGGAGAAATTCAAGGTGGGCGATGAAAATTCTAGAGCTTCTGGAGACTCCGCAAAAACACTCTTTATAGTATTAGTATTATAGTATTATTAGTCTTATTCATATCCCAAACCATTTCCGCTGCAATTACTGCAAAGACTTGTTCCTGAGCAATTTCAAAGAAAAACGTCTGCTGCGATTGTTGCTTTTTCCATTATTGTGCACCTGAGGGAGCAAATGCGTTTCGGGGACAAAGAGTCCAAGCTCCACACAATCTTCCAGCCCTTGATAGAGAAACAAAGCCCAATAAAACAATCGAATTTTAAGTGTAATTTCGAGCAGGGACCCCTTCACTCCAAAACAGCTGATTACTTTGGTCCGCTAATGGGGCGGAATTGAAGGGGGCGTGACCGTTTGCTAACTAGTTGCAGCACTTTGCAACGCAGTAAATGATTAACGAAACTTAATGAGTTTGTTGTAGAACCGTTTTTTCCACTAAGAAGCCAAGGCAAGGAAAAAATCGAGCGTCGCTCATTAAAAAATTAAGCATACGGAATAATAACAACAGCGGAGCAACAATAAAACTTAAACGACTGCAAATTAAAGTTGTTAATTTCGAGCGCTTAATTGTTTTTGTAATAATTAATAACAGCAAAACAGAGCAGGCCCCAAACTGCCTCCAGACTACTACTGCAAGTTCACGGACATCGAACTAAACTTTAATACTAATTTTCCCAGAGTTTATATATTTATTTAAAAGGATTCTGTTGTAATCTAACTAGTTTTCTCTTCGGTCCTTATTTATATACAGTCAAATTTTATCTCACAGCACTTCCGCATTCTTCTTTAAAAAATAGACTCTCCTAGCGCTGTTCCGCCACGATAAAAGCTCCCAGAATGAGATCTGGAGTGTTCGGCTCGTGGCATTTCCGTTTCACGGATTTCACTTTTTGTTGGCTTTTAGCGCTTTGGACCTGTGACTGTTTACGGCTTTTACACTTCCTGGCCCGGTGTGGTTTCTTCGGTTCGTGACTTTGCAATATGGTCTTATCTGGACGAGGTGCTCCGCATACGACGTGTGTTCGCTGTCGCTGGGGTTGTCATTGACGTTGTCGTCGTCATTGGGGTCGCTAGTTGTTCGCTATTGATAATGCTCAGGAAAGTAAGGCAAAGTAGACTTTCCGTCGCGACACGGCCAGCGATGGGCATGCATCACCTGAGTATTTTTACCCCATGACGTTATCGGCCGCAGACTAGCTACATAGACGCCGACAATAGTCCAGATTAAAAATAAATTCTCTTAAGGCCTTGGTATCCAAATTTAAGAGCTTTAAGGGATTGTCATTAATAACTATTTAGCTTTTTATCAAGGCTATTAAAAAATACACTTTTTTAAGGGAAGTAGGGAAATACTTCCACCTTCTGGCAGAAATTGAACTCCCAGCAAACCTTCTACTTAAAATAAATTAGTTGCTTTATATAATTCTTCAAAAATAACCCCGCCTAAATGTATTACTAATGCCTTGATTCTAAAATTAAACCCAAACTCGAAAGATTCGCTTGAAAACAGCATCAGCTTTCCCGCAAAGTAACTCTCAGGGGTTAATCCCTCCTCACACTCTATATACTACATAAATCTGTAACTGTCTGATGATTTAATTTAAATTTATTTAAATTCCTCTATATATGCGAAATTTATATCTGAACACACATGCAGTATCCAGTTTTTTGTTTGCCAGTTGAAACAAATTAAATTACTTGAAATGTATTTTTTATTGTTTGTTTTATTTACTTATTCCCCTTTTTTTTGTGTATTTTGGGGAGTGGCATTCCCACGCCACAGCCAGAGGGCAGTAAATATTTACTTCAGATTAAATAAGAAACAAAAATAAAAACTCAAAAATGTTCAAAATCGAAGAGCTCTGCGCTTTCCGTTGGCCAACATGTCGTATACGTGATGAGCGTCAGCATCGAGTATACGCCCCGTAGACACCATTTTTTGTAGTTTTTCCAGATGCGACTCTATCGCCCTCTCCCCCAATGGCCCCTGAGTCGCAATTAAAAAGATGAAAAAACAAAAGCAGAAAAAAACTCCACCTTGGAGGGTGGAAGCGCCGCCCCCAAAACCGCAAAATGAAAGGCGACGACAAATCAGAAAGAGCTCAACCGCAGATGAGGGAGATGGCGAGTCGTAATGCCTACATATTTTCTATATATGTATGTATGTATTTACAGACATATATAGCCATTTTATATACATACATATGCCTTTGGTTTAGTCGAACTTACATGTCGCGCCTGCTGCTGGTCAATTCCGTTGTGGCTGCCCAAGTAGTCCTGTGGCACTCGCTGTTGCAATTGATGATGCGCCTGGTGCGTCTGTTGCCCCTGATGCTGCTGATGTTGCGTTGTTGCCGTGGTTGTTGTTGGATTGGCGAAATATTGATTTGTCTGCTGGACGTTGCACGAGAAGAGACAACTGTTGGATGTTGTTGCTGGCACAGTCGGCTGGTGTTGCGTGTAGATGCTGTAAGTGGGTTGCATGTACTGCAGTTGCTGTACTGGCTGCTCCTGTTGCTGCTGGGGCGCCAAGTGCTGATTGTAATTGACATTCATAATGTTATTGTTGTTAATGTGGCGCGGCTTATTGTTTTCGGTTATCCAGGCGGCAGCTCGTGGTTGCTGCTGTTGGTGCTGCTGTTGCTGTTGCACTTGCAACTGCATGGGTGTTGCGTTGTTGCTACTGTTATTGTTATTATTATTGAGCCAAATGCGAGGATTATCGAGCAATGCATCAATCACTTGTTGTTGCTGCTGCTGCTGCAAGGTATGGTTCCAGCCGTTGTTTTGCTGCATTTCGATGGCCTTTATTGCAATCATCAACGAGCAACTTGTTGTCAGCGTTTATCACAAGATGTTGCAATTTCCTGCTCTCCTTTGATTGTCTCGTTATTTTTATTATGTAGTTTCGGATTTATTTTTGGCTTGATTTATCGTCGTTACATGTACATACTTCAATTTTTGATTAATTATACTTAATTTTGTTAATTTTTGGCAACTTGTTTGGGCTAGGGATTTAATAATTGTATTATTTAAATATTTAGTAACTTGTTTACACTTCAGATGAGCAGGTTCCTGTTCTAACTCCTTGTTTGTGCAATAGTCTCGCTTGTATTATTTATGACTTTTGGTTTGAAAGATAGTAGCTTGTCGGGGCAGAGTCCCTCCAGAGTGGATCAACTATTTACAAATTGTGCAATGCCACGGATAGGGCTGGCAATTTCACCGACGTGGTAATGACTCAACCGCCTTGTTCTTCCCGTTTCCGCACTGATAAGTATTTTCCTTCTTCTCGGCAATGATTTCGGCTTATTAATTTCGCATTTGCATATGAGCCGCCCCTTTCGCCGATCACCGATCACCGATCGACGTTCACTGTTCGATTTTGGCCTTTATTTTTTTGATCAGCACGTGCAGGCCAAGTGGCTGGGTAACGGTAAACGACGCGTAAACAAACACCAAAACGGGCAAACACGACGCGAAAAAAGTGCAATACTGCCACGGGTGGGAGGCGGCGAGTGGTAGGCGGGGGGCCAAGGGTGACTCGGTAACTGTTTGCACGGATTAAATTACGTGATTTTGTTATAAACAGGCGTCGAGATCGAAAAAGCCAGACACACAGACACAGCTTTTTCAAATAATAATAATAATTTCTTTTGCTCCACTTGCGCTTGCAATTAGTTATTCCATTCGTTGCACGTTCTTGTTATTTTTTTATATTTTATTTGCACTTTAGTTTTTTATTTTTATTTATTTTTTACCAGGCCAGGACTGATACTTCCACACGGCAGTGCGGCAGAAAGTGTATTAAAACTCAAAATGAAAATCGAATTTTGATAAACCTGCGCTCAAAGGCACTCGCGATCACTTTGGGTTCGGGCTCGGGTTCGGGTTCGCTTCGTTATTCGGTTTGGGGTTTTAATAATTTTTGTTGTTTGGTTGCGCTCTGGCCAGGTTCTGGGCTCAGACTGCGCTGAAAGGCTACCAAAAAAAAAGCCCGAACCGAAAATTGTCAAAAAAAAATAAAATAAAGAAAACGTTAAGAAATCGCACAAACACGTATGTATGCAAACCGAAGAAACAAATTATAACGAGGCGATTTATTTATTTTTTTTTGTGACTAATCCCGTGTTTGGTGGTCGCCCGTTGTCAATATCCAGTGTCCAATTTTCGCAAACACCTTTCCGGGGGGTTTTCTCGCATTTGGCGCCAATTGGCGGTCCGGCAGTACGGTAGTACGGCAATATAATATGGCCAAATGGGCGATCCGTTCGGTTCGGTGGCTCATAGATCACTCGCACTCGGGCACGTTCGCATTGTCGTCTTCTTGGCTAGCCTCTGCCGCAGTCGCTGTCACTGCCGACGTCGCCACCGGCTGCGGGCTATGACTAATCCCGCCAGGCACGCGGTGGAGCTCCAACTACAATAACAATATGTAGAACAACCGTGGCGGCAACAAAAACAAGTGCCAGAGATCCGATCAAGTGGTGCCAGGAGCGATAGATTCTCCTCAAAATTAAAGGGTGCAATAATACATTTTTAAAAGTGAAATATTATGAACATTTTTGTAACTGTTTTTCATAATATTATTTCAATTAGGTTTTCACTGAAAGGTTAAAGAAAAGGGTGAAACTGAAACCACACCTTCGCTCGTACCGCTCTACCCTCCCACCTGGTCTAAACTTTTTGGTTTTTGCTGATTTTTAATCTATGCAACAACAGCAAGGGGATCACAAAAATATGCGCGACGTGCCCACTTTTTTCAGCAACGAAATTTGTTCTTGTTTTTTCTTTGCGGCTATTGTTGTTGTTAATGCATTTTAATCAGCGAATTGTTGTTTTTTCTCTTTTTTTTGCGACACCTTGCGACGCCGCTGCGAAAATGCAAATGATCCTGGCGCACACACACATGCAGAGGGACCATGCTATATGAGGGAGAGACACCCAGAAATACACTCGGACCAAAACAGTCACGGTCTCTGGCTGTCTGTGAGGCTCCGGGTCTCTCTTCTGCTCTCTTGCCGCTCGCGCTTACCTGTGCGAATGTTAATTGAAGAATTTATTGTTGTCTCATTGTTGTATTATAGCCTGGCTGCGGCGGCAGCAGAGGCAGCGGTTCACTTTTTTTTCTTTTTCAAATTTTATTTGTCGCGTTTAATTATGACAACAGCAGCGACGCCGTCGTCAGCGCCAGCCGATCATTGACTTTCTGCCCGCCCTGGCGTCACATAGTTTTTGTTGTTCCTTGCTGCTGGAGCGGGGGTGAGAGTTAACCAAAATAAAAAAAAGAGAGGGCCAGTTGAACTTTGGGCCAGTTAACGCTTTAATTTCTTGGTTGGCAACAAAGCAGGCCGATATGCTACACGAAAAATAATTACACAATACGGCATTTAACCAATCAATTAACAATCAAAAATATTGGACTGTTTTATTAAATGCATTGACCTTTGCCATTTCGAAAGGGAAATATATGGGTTTTTATAATAAAATATAATCAACCAAAATATAAATGTATCTAATCTATTGATAAGCTTTCTGGTTAAATGGAAATTAGGTTCTCAAACATCCAAACACCATCACTAATGGTTCTTAAAACGAAATAAATCATCCTTCCACTTTGGATTAAAATTAATAAAAAAAAATTGGAATTTTAATTTGCATACAGCCCCTGGAAACAATGAATGTTTGCAAACATTTTAAATACCAACCACTTTCAGCGCCCCCTCCCACCCAGTCCGAAACGTGGCGAACTTTTGCGACCCGTTGACATGTTAATGACATTTTTATAACGCCAAAAACAACAAACAGGTGTGAGCTACACACACAAAGACCCACGTGGGGCTGGAAACAAAAAAAAAGAAACAAAGGCGGATGCAACATTTCTCATTGTTTATGGAGCGAGGAGCGAGGATACAAATTGTTTTTTGCCATTTTTGGCGAGGGAGCGGTCGAAACAAATACTTACGCACATGTAAGCAAATACACACACAAAGATCCATATATACAGCAGCACTGAGAGAAATATTTGTTAATTTTACCACGAAAATACTTGTTAATAAAAGGGTTATATGTAGGTATATAGATGAAAGTTTATTGTTTTATAACAGACTGAGCTAGATGTTTATATTATTTTATAATTATTTGTTAAATTTTTAAAATTTGTCTTAGTGCTTCATTTAGTGAATGCATTTATTTCATTGACGTGTGGCGAGATTTTAAGTCATTTTTGATGTACGAGTTGTTTCTGTTGTTATATTTTGTGTTTATTTGAGTTAATAATACGCGCGAAAGGTAACGGGTACAGTGAACTCAAAACACGTACTACGTACGCCTTTAATTGTGCGTTTCCTGTGTGTGTGTGTGTGAGTGTGTGGTTAGCTCTCAATGAGACAATTAGCCTCCTTCCGCCATTTCGCCTCTTTTTTTTGGCATAGGTGCATCGCATCTCTCAGCGAAAATTGGGAGCCAAAACAAAAGGCCGTAACCTAACAATCAAAACACCGAAAATTAATGCGAAAGACTGAAATGAAGCAAAGAATTATATTGAATCTATGAAGTTAATAGTTAAAATTTTTAAAATTAAATTTAAATTAAATTTCCATGAAAAACTACTCCAAGACTTCGTTAGGGTTATTTGAATTTAATCGCCTTCTTAATTCATAACATAAGTATATGTACAAACATATGTGTATTTCCTCAAATATTTTGATATTTGACTATGTAAAATTAATGACACGGATCTTATACTCTTACATATTTTGTTTCATGACATTCTGTAAATGTCTAAAAACATATTTTTTTTCATGATATTTCGGTCGAAGTGTGAAGCCGCCATTTTGTATCAGGCACCATTTTGTTGAATTAAAACTATTTTTTTTTTGTTCTTAAAAAGCTAAAAACTTAAAAAAGAAAGAAAAGCTATATATGGGAAAGAAGTCTTATGCAGTTTCAGTTTAAAATTTATCCATTTTTTATAAGATGTTGTTTATAGAAAATAACTTTAACATTTGGCGTATTCTTTTAAGGATTTCAATGCGAAAATAATTTCTTATATGAATTTAAAAAAAATATTGTAACTTTCTTTCAAATATAGACAAATTATGTCTATTTTGCTTAAAATCTGAAAGGGTAATTTTAGATTTAGATATTTTAAATTTGTAGAATGAGTAGCGACTCTGTAACCAAAATAATCCTGATACATTTAAACTTTATAGGATTGAAGCTGCCTCCTTCAGGGCTTTGCCTACTTCTGACCAAAATTAAAATGCCCTTACCAAGGGTATAAAAGATAAAAATATTATGAATCTATTCAAAGAGTGTGTATTTTTTTGGGTCGTTGTTTGCCTTGGCCCCATTTCTGGTTACTGGCCAAACGGAAACGTCTGACATTCCATCGAGTTCTGGATTCGCAACGGCAGATGTGGCCACTACCGCCACCCCCCCCATGTTATTGAGCTTTGAGTTCAAGTGCAACGTCTAGTGGCTTTCTTTCCCCCCGACTCTCGATTCGCGATTCGAGCTTTGTTTTTGTTTTTATTAGCACGTTTCGCCTTTATGATCGTAGCGTGATTTCTGCGTTCTGGTGTCTTTTGTTGCTGCTACTCTCTTGCTTTATTGCGCCGCAGCTTTTTGTTATTTTTATTGTAGTTTCGGCAACAGGTGTGGCCCCAAGCATCTGTTCGTTGAACCCATACCGCGTTATGTCCCCTCCATTTCAATTATCTGTGTTTATTATTTTTACATGACAACTATGACGTGTAACCAGCGTATATCCTTATCACCAGGTCTTTACCAATGACGTCGGTGAATTTTCATCACAGTTTTTCCGGTTCACTCATATCAGACAAGACTCATTTGTACACATGGACGTTTAAAGGTATGAGTCATCGGAGAATTCCCCAATAGCAGGCAGAGAAAGGGTTTCGATTTTGAAGCCCCATTTGAGAGTG